GTCTTGGAACGAAGGGACTTCGAGGACTTGAGTTTTTAAAAGTGTAATGTTGCACGTGAGGCAGTTGATTAGATGGTTATGAGTTTTGTTTCAGTGTCTTTGGCAGGTTCATTACTCCAACGCAAGCTTTTATAACTGTCACGAATCAGCTGGCTTAGAGGATCGGGCCTTGACACTGGCTTAGACCTCAAAGGCTCCTCCTGTGCCTTGGCCTCAGCTTTGACCTCATGGGTCCTCACCTTCTGGCCTTCAATCCAAGGCTGCCAGTCATTTGAAAAATAATCGTGCAATACATAGCAAATATGTGCATGTATGCAGCTCATTGCTCCGGCCAGAGGCCCTGTGGATTACTGGTATAAATTTATAAACGCATTAATTTTATAATTTCATTCTGATTTTGTTTATATACAATACTCGATGCGTTTTACCTTGGCATACCAAATACCCCCATTCGTGTGTGTGTGTGTATGCGAGCTCGATGGAAAGATGTATTCGAAAAGCAAAGGGCTTTGTGTGTATGCCGTCCTCCTCTGTCCTTGAATCCATTCGCCGTTCGTTTTCCATCTATTCTGTTGATAGGTAAAAATATGCACTGCCTCAAGGCGAATTTCGATGCCATGCAAGAGGTGATTGATGCGAGGCACGGAATGGACTTTTCTCACAGTTCCTTATGTAACTTTTCAGATACATTTCATCTTGTCGCCACGTTGACGCGTTGTAATGTTGCAGTGTGATTTTGTGTGCACGTAAGTCCTCCATCTGGTGGTTAACTTCGTCTTATTTCAGATTTCAGTTGTGTATAATTTTTTGCCGTTCTGGTCTTTTAAGAATGAAGTTAAAGGTCAAGGGAAATTCCTTTTCATTTTATGGCTGTCCAAACCTCGGTGCCGATTGTTGAATCGTAAGATTGAGGCCTTGAATAAGAGCCAGGCACACGTCCTGCCAGCGCTCCTCGTACACCAAGCAGTGAACAAACATTGAAATGCACAGACCTGCCGTGTTATTGCTGGGCAGGGTTGTGTGCTTCCTTACCGCATTGCCAATAAACACCCTGGTCCACGTGTAATGCATTATTATGTACCGTCATAAAAATCGCTAATACTTTATAGCCCCTTTTGTAAATCCTCTGCCGCGATGAAGAAGGCCTCCCAATTGCCACGTCACGGTCAAGGGAGTCGTCGGACCATATTTCGCCTGGCGCCAGTCCAGGGCTTGGCAACTCGCGGCTCCGGAGCCGCGTGCGACTCTTGAAAGGACTCTCGCTTCGTGACGGTTATTTATTAAAGATCACGGCCGTCTCGTATTCGCATGGAATTGCGGCTCTTGAGGTATCGATTTGTTTTTACCGAATTCGAAAAAATAAGCAAAAAGGGTCTTGTTATTTTTGGTTGCACTGGTCTGTGTGGGTTGGTGGAGTGGGGGCTCTGGGTGGTCACCAGGTTCGTAGCAATGCAATGCACCGGCCACTGCTGCGCTGCGTCTCTACCCCAGCGCTGTCGTACTACCCCGGTTTTACGTCAGGGATGCCTTCCCGAATGAAAGGTGCGACGACGAAAATCGAAACGACGTAAATCACAAGCGATGTTAGCAGGGTAGGTAGGTGGGGAAGGCAAAGGCTTGGAGGCGACGGGTACCGAGGACGGGAAGCAAATGGAGAAGTGGTATTTTTAATAAAGTGATGGACGTATTTGCGAAATGACGTCAAAGGGTGAGACGTACATCGGGGGTATTACTGTATAATATATAGTCCATTTATTTTGAACTTGGTTGACTTTTGTTGGCTGCCAGTCGCGATCATCTGAACACGGTGCCTTTTAATCTTCCAAACGAATTCCAAGGGACACGTCAGATGTTTGACGAACCCAAACAATAAAACGATTGAAACGTGTTTTTTTTTTAAAACGCGCTCTTTGAATCTTACTTGGCCACAAATGAAGTGGGCCTTCTTGTTTGGGAAACCCGCGTGTTAATTGACCCAACTGTGTTCATAATTAAACGTCAGATCGTCTGCCTGAAACAAACGCCACCGATTGTGTTGATGCAAATGGCACGCAAAGTCACGCACCATTTCGCCCGCTAGTCGTGCCGTGTTTGCTCGCTGATGGCGCTGCTTCCCTCCTAATTTCGTAACAGCTAGCTGCCCTTTGCAGCCTCTGTTGCGTTAAAAGAGAGGGGGAGGAGAGGAAGCGACGAGGCTCCACTGCCCCCAACGTCCTTGCTGCCAGCCAAACGGAGGCGTGAGGGCTCGCACGTCGAAGGCAAATAACAAGAAACAACAAACCCAAGACGACCGCAGCAGCGCCTGCGTTGTGGCTGCACGGCGCACCCTGGAACACCGTGTCCCATCAGCGGACCGCTAAAGCCCTCTTGCACCCCCCCCCGCCGCCGCCGCCGCCAGCTCCACGCTTGCGGCGCGGGCAGACCCCCGCGGAGGACGGCCTCTTTGTAATTCGCGTGCGTTGCGTCGCAGCCGAATTAACCACCCGCTGATAGCTGCAGTCGTGTGTAAAGCCGTCTTGTGTGTGCAAGCGGAGTGGCGCTGCTGCTGCTGTTGCTTCTGCTGCCGCCACCGCTACCGCTGTGGGTTTTTTTTAATTTTAAAGATGCAGCGTTGGCGAAAGAATGAAGTGCTGCAGTCTCTTGCACCCCCCCTCCCGTCCCCTGAGCAAGAACGAAGTTGTTTCAGGGTTTGCGGCGCGTTGCTGCCCTCTGCTGGATGGATGTGGCACAGAGCTAAAGCCCTCTCCTCTCTCTCGCACGGCCTTGGCTTCCCTGATGCCTGCATCTGAAATGGACATGGGAGGGTGGTCTTACCTTGTCTTAAAGGAATTGATATAGCTCCTCGATGAAGGCGCTTGACGATGAATTACGAACGGTACAGCGTAGGAATGTAATGGTGGAGATGAGACCGATTAAATAGATGAGAGGAAGCAACGCGGGGGGGGCAAATCTGTGATGCGTGAATTCGGTGAAAGTTGATAACAGTCAATGATGATGAATGTATTGAGTGAAAGGGGAAGGAGTGAAAGCTATATGAGAATATGAGGAGGGAAAACTAATGGTGGCGGTTATGAGGGGGAAGATTACGTGGTCGTGGGGTGAGCTCGGTAACAATTAGTGAGTTTTGAGTGCGGAATGGAAACGAGCGAGCGAAGGTGACTGTTTCATGTGGAGGGGAAGTTTATTCCAGTGATTGAGCGCAAGGAGATACAGCAAATATTGAGTGTGACTGCACATGCATTTTATGTGCGCACGAGCTGAGACCATTAATTCGTAGAGTGTGTCCAGTCCGCTCGTATGCATATCATAAGCATCATTGACGACCACACAATCAATCTGATACTCTTGGCTGTGTTAAATAAAATTAGTTTGTAATTGCAGAAACATTTTTCTTGGGTGCAACGCGGAAGTGAGTTCCATAATTTTTCTTCTTTTGAAAATCCATTCGACCACCGCGGGGAGAGAGAACACGCGAACTCCAAACATACAAAAGGCATCGGGGTCGAATCCACGACCTCCTGCGTACCAAGCGAGGGAGATAACATCTCCTCGCCAATGTGGCGCCCTATCAAAGTATCGCTTGGGAAACGTGGTTGTGTTTGATTGGCGGTTGTTCCATTCCATCGGTTCGTTGTGACAATGCACTTTGGGTTTTCCTGGCTTAGCCACCAGCCCCCTTCTCAAAAAAAATGTACATCCTCCCAGAATATCGACACGGAACTCGGTGAGACGTTTTCATTACGTTGTCTATTTGCGCTGTTGCTGGTTTTAAATAAAGTAAAAAAGAAAATGCATTGAGTTGGAGCGAGCGGTTGGGTCTCCGCGTCTTTAGGAGGAGGTGGTTTTGACCAACTGTCAAAACAACCCCTAATCTGTGGCACAGAGCAGCAAGCACCGTCTCATCTGCCCATCGTAGACACGGGAGGGAGGATTGTGTCACGTTGTTTTGAGTCCGTATGTCCACAAGCTTTTCGTATTTTATGGCTAAGGCACCTGGTGTGCGTCTTGACTGGCCGCAGAGAGTCTTGTCTGTCTAACTTAAACACTGTTCATATTGGAAACTAATCTTTAAAACTGGTTCTTTTGATGAATTATAATATCCTTGACCTGGAGATCACTGTCTGATTTAAAGGCCTATTCGAATAAAAACAATGCTTGAGTCTATGCTGTCAAAACACTGCTTTCTTGCACCATCGTTTTCATTTTGTATTTACATAATGGGTGGTAAGTTGACTTTAATGTTGAGGAGAACACAGTGGGTGATGCATCACACTTCAAAGGGCGTCGTATTGGTACTTTATAAAAACTGTGGGGGAATAATTTAACATGACTGCCAACAAATATTAAATTCGTATCAGTGAATCACTTTACAGGGATAAATTCATTCACGGGCATCTTCAAGGAAACTGAATCGATGAATGAATGCAACTGCAGGTCACAACATCTCCATATTAAGTTTCTCAAACATATTTTGAAGGATTTTTTTTAAGCTGCTACTCATGTGTCTATACCTACGTATGTCGCCGAGTATGAAAGGTTTTGAAAACACTCCATATTATTACAGGGACTCCTTTACTTACGAACGAGTTAAGTTCCAGAGGTCTGTTCGTAAGTCGATTTGTTCAACTTTACTCCTGTCGATTCACAAACATGCTGTACGGCATATACACTAAACACGGGGAATGGCTTTAAAAAGTAGTATGATCTCCTTTCGATGTACATGCCACCACCGCCATCTATATTGCGCTGCGGTTGAGCTTACGACTGTCGATCCGGAACAGGCAACTGGACAAGCGGGACAGGTTTCATTCGTATCTCTGAAAGTTCGTATGTCGATTGTTCGCAAGTTACACGAATGACTCGGGGGAGAAGGAGGGCTCTCCCAGAGGAAATGAGCCAGCCTTTCTCACGGGCTCCTTGCAGAAGCGATCAGCCGTTCGTACGGCGACACCCAACTACTGCCGCTGACCTGTCCGGCCTCTTAATTTGCGTGCCCGCAGCGGACTCATCGTGCCGGAGAACCGGGCCAACGAGAGCATCCCCGAGGTGGTGGCGCGCTCCGGAAGCGCCTTCCTTCATTTCTTCAGCGACGCGGCCTACAACCTCACGGGATTCAACATCTCGTACAGGTAACGCGGCACCAGCGCAGGCGCTGCCGGAGGGTGTACGTGGTTGGGGGGGGGGGTGCGCTGGAGTTTTCTACAACGCTGGTCATCGTGGCCATTCTCCCCACGGTTGTATTTTGCTGTGCCGAGTACCTCGTCAGCAGTCCTGCAAAGTGCTTGGATTCGTGGCAATTATTCACAAAAAATACAAGTGGTTGGCATTGTGGGCAGTAGAGGGCAGTGGCACTGTGGGCAGGAGAGGGCAGTACAGCAAAATCCATTGTTATTCACCAACCCGCGCTGACCAGCGTGGTGAAGTATGATGATATATCCTCTACGATCTGCAAGGAATGGTGATGCCCTCATCTATCAGTGGATTTGCCAAAACGGGCTGTACATTTGCAGGCATCCCTTGCTCTACGGATAGACTGCCGTATAACAATGCGGAATATCCAAATCCATCTGCTCGTCACCACCAATAATAATGAGCATCCCACCCTATGCCCACTCGAGTTACATTGCCGCTCGTAATTCATTGTTTGCCTTCATGGTCTATGGAGACTGGGTGGAAGGGGAGCAACTTAAACAACAACCGGCGTTTGCAGCCACACGCAGTCACACCTCGAGTGAAGTTGAAAGAGGAATTTTAATCAGGGCTGCGAAGACTTAAATTGGCGTCGGGGAGACGTTTAGCAGCTGTGTTCCTCATCGCGGCTCACCTCTGGCTTGGTGTCTGGCTTGACCTCTCACGTGGCTCAGCTCTGGCTTGACCTCTCACGTAGCTCAGCTCTGGCTTGAGCCTCTCACGTGGCTCAGCTCTGGCTTGACCTCTCACGTGGCTCAGCTCTGGCTTGACCTCTCACGTGGCTCAGCTCTGGCTTGAGCCTCTCACGTGGCTCAGCTCTGGCTTGACCTCTCACGTGGCTCAGCTCTGGCTTGACCTCTCACGTGGCTCAGCTCTGGCTTGAGCCTCTCACGTGGCTCAGCTCTGGCTTGACCTCTCACGTGGCTCAGCTCTGGCTTGAGCCTCTCACGTGGCTCAGCTCTGGCTTGACCTCTCACGTGGCTCACCTCTGGCTTGGCGTCTGGCTTGGCCTCTCACGTGGCTCAGCTCTGGCTTGAGCCCTCTCGGTTGCTTTTCAAAGACGCACGAGTGGCTCGGCCGTGGCTCGGCTCGGGCTCGACTCGTGGGAAATTCTGAGCGTACGGCTGGGACCTTGCTCGGAGCCGAGATTAGTGTGGCTTTGAGCCAGCCAGAGCCTAAGCCTGAGCCGGGCCACGATTAACAATACGGCCTTAAACTCTTTGACGCCCGTGGAGTGGTACTTAATCAGTGCCTCTGACGTCTCTCCGGCTGCACAGCTTTAACTCGTGCCCAAACAACTGCTCGGGGCATGGGCGGTGCAACAGCTCGGGCGGTGCGCACTGCGTGTGTGACGAGTTCTGGAAGGGCGGAGCGTGCGACGTCCCCTACTGCGGCGACAACTGCGGCAGCCCCGTGCGCGGATTCTGCGACCTGCCGGGCAAGAAGTGCTGCATGTGCAACAGCAGCTGGCAGGGTACAGCTCCTCGCCTCCCTCGCCTCCCTCGCCACCCTCGCCTCCCTCGCCTCTCTCGCCTCTCTCGCCACCCTCGCCACCCTCGCCACCCTCGCCTCCCTCGCCACCCTCGCCACCCTCGCCTCCCTCGCATCCCTCGCCTCCCTCGCCTCCCTCGCCACCCTCGCCACCCTCGCCTCCCTCGCCACCCTCGCCACCCTCGCCTCCCTCGCCTCCCTCGCCACCCTCGCCTCCCTCGCCACCCTCGCCTCCCTCGCCTCCCTCGCCTCCCTCGCCACCCTCGCCACCCTCGCCTCCCTCGCCACCCTCGCTACCCTCGCCTCCCTCGCCTCCCTCGCCTCCCTCGCCTCCCTCGCCTCCCTCGCCACCCTCGCCACCCTCGCCACCCTCGCCACCCTCGCCACCCTCGCCTCCCTCGCCTCCCTCTTCACCCTCGCCTCCCTCGCCACCCTCGCCACCCTCGCCACCCTCGCCTCCCTCGCCACCCTCGCCTCCCTCGCCACCCTCGCCTCCCTCGCCACCCTCGCCACCCTCGCCTCCCTCGCCACCCTCGCCTCCCTCGCCTCCCTCGCCTCCCTCGCCACCCTCGCCACCCTCGCCACCCTCGCCTCCCTCGCCTCCCTCTTCACCCTCGCCTCCCTCGCCACCCTCGCCACCCTCGCCACCCTCGCCTCCCTCGCCACCCTCGCCTCCCTCGCCTCCCTTTTCACCCTCGCCTCCCTCGCCACCCTCGCCACCCTCGCCACCCTCGCCTCCCTCGCCACCCTCGCCACCCTCGCCACCCTCGCCTCCCTCGCCACCCTCGCCACCCTCGCCACCCTTGCCACCCTCGCCACCCTCGCCACTCTTGCTACCCTTGCCACCCTCGCCACCCTCGCCACCCTCGCCTCCCTCGCCACCCTCGCCTCCCTCGCCACTCTTGCTACCCTTGCCACACTCGCTTCCCATTCCACCCTCGCCACCCACACCTCCCTTGCCTCCCTCATCACCCTCTCCACCCATACCTCCCTCGCCTCCCTCGTGACTCTCGCCTCCCCTCGCCACCCTCGCCAACCCTCGCCTCCCTCGCCTACCTCACCTCTTTTTGTCGTGTTTTGGAGATCTTTCTATGTAAGTGTTATCTTGCGTCTGTCTATGTGATATCCCTGACAGTGAGTTACCGAGGTAAGGAAATCCTAACTTAGTTTCTTCGTGTGCCGGGTGCCGGTCTTCGTCGGTACTACTCGCTAACAGCACTTGCCCCGGCAGTCTGTTAAGGCTACGCGGGGGACGTCTTTGTGCGCGCACGTACACGTTGTGCCCCCCGCGTCAACTTTGCGCAGGACCCGACTGTTCGGTGACGGTGCCCGCCAACGAGTCGTACTGGATGCTCCTGGACGATGAGTACTCGGGTATCGCGCGAGCATCGCACAAGGCCGTTGTGCACAATGGCAGCATGTGGATCGTGGGTGGCTACGCGTTCAACTACTCGGGCTTCCCCATGGTGCTCAGGTGAGCCATCCGACTGGGTCGAGTGCTCTTGAAACGGAATTCCCATTTATTTATTTTTCTTTCTTTCCCCCCCATCCGCTGAATGCACTGCTTACTACTATTTCATCGGCAGGCTTTTAAGAGAGGGTTAGGTCGAGGTCGCTGAACACTCGGGGCAGGGCCAGAGTGAGATTGTTACAGATGGAGCGAGAGCTTCCTTCTCTACAAAGCCACAGCTGCCTGGTAATGACTAGTGGCTCAAAGGCTTTACGTTATAGAGTGGCAGTGGCCGTGTATTGTGCCTTCTCACTGTTGATCCTCTTGGGGTAGAGACCTGAGGAGCTTAAGTCAGTGGAACACGGTAATACTTGCACAGGTCACGAGTGCTGTTCTCGAACTTCTCGCAATTGGCAAGTACATTCGATGATGATGCTGAAGTTAGTAGTGTACGTGGTGCGAGGGGGGGGTTATGGGAGCGGCGGCCAGCATGGTACGCTACGAGCCGGCGACCCGGGTTCGATTCCTGCTCACGGCCAACACCAGTGATGATTATCTGAACTGGTTCTGGGCCTCTACTATGTCGACTTGGCCTCAAATGAGTGCCTGGTGCGGTGTGTAAACATCGCCACTGGGGAGACAAAGACGGCCGGGTGTGGTGCTGGCCACCCACTCCGTTGTGTGCTGTGCCGCTCTTCATGAGGGCTCGCTAGCAGCAGTTGCCCCAACAGCCTGTTGCAGGCTATACAGGGGATCTTTGTCTTTGTCTTCGGTGCGAGGGGTGGCCCTCGAATTAACAATGCAATGTGTTTTCCGTGCAGTTATGATTTGAAGACGAACACGTGGCCAGCACTGAAGCGCATCGAGATCCCATTTTATCCACGCTACGGCCATTCCCTCTCTCTGCACGGGGTAAGTGTCGTCCAGTGCATTTTGAAGTGCGTTGTAGCGGTTGGCGAATGCGTTGAAAGCAAAAAAGTGGCCTGACCAGATTCGGCGAGTTGCGTTGGTGGCAAGCGGTGCAGAATGAAAGAAGCCATTCGCTGGCAATTGTTGCAGGCTGCTCAACTTCAAGGCGAGCTCCGGAGCAACCACACCGCAGCCGGTAGACGTGACTGGATTTAGAACTTCCTTCTCAGTGCTCAGAGCTCTATCTCCGAGTCTCTCTTGCAAGTCCATTAAGCATTAATTCCGTCCTGGAACCCCTTACCCGATTGGCATTTGGGATGACCTCTGAAAGCAATTCAATTTTGTTAAATATTCAAGGTGTCTCTTTTACTGGATCCGGTCTGAAGCCGCATATTTCAACAGTTCTATTCCAAATAAGGCTTCTTTAATGAAGTACCTGAATCCCATGCCAGAGTAGATAACGGAGGTTACAACGGTCTATAGATTAAATTGCTTGCTTCCCGCTCCAAAGGATTTATCACAGATATGTGAATCGATTGGCGGTGGCCCGGGTCACCGCAAAATATTGGTGGGCCGGGCATAGTTTCAGGTTATTTTCTGGGAGCATCGCTGGTACCACCACCCTGTCCTGCCGGAGGGCGACGCTGGGAGCGATGATGATGACGACGATGTCGATCCCGCCAGCACGACCGTGACCGCCGGCCGTACCGAGAGAGCGCCTGGTGCGCCATTGCCTCCGAGTGGTCTCGCTCCCAAAGACAAGGAGGGTGGTCGCCCCCCGTAAGAAGCAGAACGTGCTGGGGAATGACCAGGCCAGCATCCTGATGTACTTTCACAACAAGCAATAAACAGCCATTGCCAGGCAAAAATCCCCAGCAAGCCCCCATTTTTTATGGGTGTTTTGCGCGTGTGTTTTATTTCCATATTTGGCGTGCGTATCAGGCTCAGTGACATCTCCGGTCTTCATAGGCCTTCTGGTTCGGAGTTATGGAGGTTTTGGCACCCCCGGGTCACGACGGTGACCCGGGTCACCGCCAATCGATTCATTTGTGCATTTAATCAGCCACAGAGTCAAAGCATTGAAATTAGTTTGTTGCATATGAAACCACTAAGTAAGATTTGTTTTCTATCCACAACAAAAACATATCTATTCGCATCTTCAGAGAGTACAGAAACAAATGAAGCTAAATAAAGAAAACATCTGCAGCGTGTTAATAGTAGCTCGAATGTTCAACTGGAAAGCAGTTTTTGAATTTTCCCATTAATAGTCATGGCCGCTTAATAATGCACACAAAATGTGGTTCGCTAACAAGTCTGGGCGCAGCGTCGTTTGGGCTGGTCAAAAATAAAAAATTGAAAGCATCCTTTCCCAAGATCTGTCTGTGCACGGCCGCGCTGGCCATGCCAAGCGTCAGCCTGCAACCCGCCCCCTGACCGCCGTTCCTTGTCCCCTATGCCCCCTTCCCCCGCAGGACAACTTGTACATGTACGGCGGCAAGATCGAGACGCCGGGCGGCAGCGTGACGGACGAGTTGTGGGTGTTCCACGTGCCGAACCAGACGTGGTCGCACCAGGTGCCCTTGCCCGGCACCCCGCGCGGCCAGTTTGCCGCCGTGGGCCACTCGGCGCACGTGGCCACGCTGGACACCGGCGAGGTCGTCATGTTCGTGTTCTTTGGGCACAATCCCACCTACGGGTACCTGAGCAAGGTCCAGGAGTACAACATCAGTAAGCTGCCCGTTCGTTTGTTGTTGGTGGTGTACGTCAAATGTGGAGGGGGCTGGAGGGGGGCCAGTGGCAATGAGTACTTCCGGGCCACTCCCACAGATTTCTTAATTCAAACCTCTGCAGCCAACTAGCGCAAACAAAACTGAATGCGTGACCATCCCAATTGTGACCACCCACACCTGACCACCCACACGCGACCACCCACACGCGACCACCCACACCTGACCACCCACACCTGACCACCCACACGCGACCACCCACACGCGACCACCCACACCTGACCACCCACACCTAACCACCCACACGCGACCACCCACACCTGACCACCCACACCTGACCACCCACACCTGACCACCCACACGTGACCACCCACACCTGACCACCCACACCTGACCACCCACACGCCTGACCACCCACGCATGACCACCCACACCTGACCACCCACACCTGACCACCCACGCCTGACCACCCACACCTGACCACCCACACGTGACCACCCACACGTGACCACCCACACGTGACCACCCACACGTGACCACCCACACGCCTGACCACCCACACCTGACCACCCAGACCTGACCACCCACACCTGACCACCCACACCTGACCACCCACACCTGACCACCCACATGTGACTACTCCGCTTTGCATATCTTGGTTCTCGGTCGCACGTGGATAGTAGTGTCAATAACTTTGGCCACCCCTCCTATACACACACACATTGTAAATTAACGATTGTGTACAAGTACATGTCTGTAAGTATGTGAAAACAAATTAAGTTAGTAATGGTCAAACAGCCCCCAGGGCATGCACGGTGTGTGGGGACGCTTCATTCAGCAGTACATCGACAAAGGGCTTTGGGTATACAAAGATCCCCCGTGTAGTCTTAACAAACTGTTGCGGCAAGTGCTGTAACTTTATACACCCTGTACACCCATGTTGGATTCAAATGTACCGTATAATTGTCCCAATTCTATTTTTAATCTCTAATCCGATTCACCAATAGCAAATAAGGACCATGAAAATCATAATTTACACAGCACTGCAGGTACACTGGGTATATATTTACATACGTTAAGAGAGGATTAACAACCAAGAGGAGGTAAATATATGGTATATCTTTATTTTAAGAGGTATACTGCATAGAAAACAAAGACAAAGATCTCTGGATAGCCTCTAGCAGACCGTTGAGGCAAGTGCTGTTAGCGAGCACCTATGAAGGCCGGCACGGCGCACGAGGGGGTAGGTGCCCAGCACCACGCCCGGCCGCCTTTGTCTCCCTCATGGCGATGTTTACACACCGCACCAGGTACTCATTTGAGGCCGAGTCGACCTAGCGAATGAGGCTCAGGACCGGTTTCAGATAATTGTCACCGGTGTTGGCCGTGAGTGGGAATCGAACTCGGGTCGCCGGGTTCATAGGGCAGCGAGCTAACCACTACGCTACCGCTTGGATATGCACGCGCACACACGCGCGTAAATATGCACGTGCCTTCTTCAGGCGTCCACGCGAGTCGGTGGCACGCTTGCGCGCAAAGTGCAATAGAAGTGCAACCCACCTCCCCTCCTCCCCCGTGTGACCCCACAGAAACGAACTCGTGGCGCATCCCTGACACCAACGGGGCGCTGGTACTGGGGGGCTACGGCCAGAGCAGCGTGTACGACTCCCTCGGCCGGGCCGTGTTTGTGCACGGCGGCTTCAAGGCCTTCAGCATGAACCGCAACAGCCTGACGGACGACCTGTACCGCTTCGACGTCAACACGCGCACCTGGTGGGTCCGCGTGGCGCTGCCGCGTGGCGCGGCCGAGGAAAAACGAGCCTCGCCCGCTGCGTAGCGTTCTCACCGGTTGCGCTGTGTGTAGATGAGAATGTTCTTCGCAATCGGAATCTTTGTTTACACTGGAAGAATCCGATGGGCTACGAAGCTCTTTTCACAGACGTGCAGTCGTTTTCGCCTGACGTGTCGGCGTCAAGAACCCGGCAACGCCAGCCCTGTGCCAGGTCGTCATGCGCCGTTATTGCCAGTCGGGGCACTGCGGTGGTGATGTTAATTACCTCACCTGGTATGCAGGAGGTCGATGATTCGATCCTGACCCTTGACGCCTGTATATTTGGAGTCTGCATATCTCGCTTCTCGCGGTCTTGTGGATTTTTCTCCGGGTGCTCCAGTTTTTCCCTCCACACGTGCGTTTCGAGAATTTGGCTGCGAGAAATTTCCACACGATAAGCCACTTGGTTGAGCTATCATTTGTGGCCTGGTCGTTTCTGAAAAAGAGCTATATAGCTCAGTGGGCCTTACATCGAAAAAAATGTTAATTCGTTTAATCGTATAATTCTAGATTTGAAGCTTTCGTGACTGCAAGGATTCATACTCTTTGTTTTTTTCGGTAAAGTAACGTAGGTAAAATCAAATAAATAAAAACACGTCGTTTCGGAGGCAACACAAGCTTCCGTCTTCAGGTGGAAACCGTCACAGCAAAATAGCTGTATCAAGTGCAGAGAGCTCTAAGAGACCCGAGATTATATACAGGTTAAGGGGGGGGGGGGGAGGAGCCAAGAAGGGCCGTGGGGGGTGGCTAAGTTAAGCCGCCTTTTGTTATGCTGCAAGGGGTTAGGGGGACTGAGAGGCGATGGCGAGCGGTTGTCGAAAATGAGAGAAACCAAACTGGAAGAAATGGAAATGGGTCTACAATTATAAGGCAGCTAAAGTTTGACTTGGTTGATGACATCTTTCCAATGATTGCTTAATTTAAAACCATCCTCTCGGTTGAAGTTGTGTCAATGTTTGTATATCTGGACGGCTTCATGGACAAATCTTTGGTAGTGTCCTGGAGGTTTGCAGAGTCTTATAGTTTAACCAGGTGGTGATATTTGTATTTTTAACATATTAACATATTTCACACCGTTTGTAGCGATCCGTGCTAATGTGAGCTGCGGGGGGGAAAGGGCAACAAACTAAATACTAAAAGCAGTTCTCAAGAAAAGAGTTTTCAATCCAGATTCATTTCATCGAAGGAGCGAGTCAGATCTTCAAAATTCAGTTTTTCGCACGTGCGGAGCGAAACTTAGAGGGCTTTGTGCCAAACGACACGCGGGCGCGACCCGAAAAAACAAACGGATGTAAGAAAATAAATTTGGCACGCGCGCGTTAAGTCCCCCGCCGCACCGTAGCTGTCCCGGCCATTCGCGTCTTAGGCCTCTGTTGGGCTCCGCCTGGTGGCGACAGTCGTGAGCTGCAGTTGAAATCTCGCTCGACATCTCTTCTCGTGGCGGAACGTCGTCGCACACTAACACGTGTCCTGCGTTGGCGAGCGGTTTAGAAGGTTTTACGCATCGCGTTTCGGAACTCGAGCGGTAATGAAGGTGCGTGATATAAATGCTCGCGCGCAAATCTGTCCGTATACGTGTAGGAATAATGAAAGTAATATTATTTTCACAGGATGGAAAACACAAAATTGCGTAGCACTGCATGGGCAGTGCTAGACAAAACACAAATTGCAAAAAAAATCTAAACATTTGTCAATAACACTGTCATGGAAGGGGCAATGGCTCCTTCTTCACAGGACTTGAAGGAGCGGCAATTGCCTGAAAATGTTCCTGTTATATAGTTTTCCCCTTGAAACGGCTCGATGTTAATAATTTGAAAACTCCCACTTTTCTGCGTGAGCAAGCGTATACTGTCAAATGCCCACAGTGCTTGGGATAAATGAATAAATGAGCGGGGCGTACTCGTGTACAGGGATTGATGAATGTAATTTCCAAATGCGTGCATCGGCGCTGAAGCAGACACAGGTGCCCCGCTAATTTGAGAACACTCAGGGTAAAGGAGAGGTACTTTCCCTCTGGAAGAGAGAACATTTCTGTTGAGTTCTGCTGACGCGGCCGTTTCGCTCTATAAACTGGTTCCTGCCAGCCGATGAATCAGAGCCTGGTACAAGGCTGCTGATTAGCTGCAGCACATTTACTACCGCTGTGCACGTTTTTCGTGGGTCTGCCGTACGGCTCCGTGATGTGTTTCGGGTTGTGCCGTGTGCCGTTCGGCATGTCCGTCGTTTCTCCTCGCGTGCTGGGAGGCTTCTTCGGCAAACGCTTCGCGACACGACGTCCCGGACGTTCCGATGCGCGTGACGTTTTTTGCGAAGAAGCTCCGAACGGGCACGCGCCGCAAATCGCGGAGACGCCGTCGTGCGTGCCGTGAAGTGTTCCTGCAGAAGCTCCCCGGCACGTGGGGTGGAACTTCGGACGTCAGAATCGGGATCTTTATTCGTCGCGGAGAAATCCGACGGGCTATGAAGCTCTTTTGCACAGATGTCCAGTAGGGGCGCGAGGTCATAAAGTGACAACAACAAACAATGCAACAACACGATCGGGAGTGCACAGTCTAGGAAATGTTAGCAAATCAGTAAAAATATAACTTAAACTAAACTAATTTTACTAGCCTTTTACCCGTCCAAGGACGGGTGTATTGCAGTAAATCTGAAACTTGCAAGCGAAAAGCAGACCGCGATGTGATATTCATTGCATCCATTTGTGTGCAATTTGTAAGGCCGTGGTGACACAGACCTATTTAATTTAAAGGTTCATTATGATGTCCTTTCTACTTCCATGTCTCAATAGCGTTACGGAGATCGCGTGACGTGAGGGTTCTGCCTTTGTAGTGAGGGTTGTGAGTTGACGCTGAGGAGGGGGGAGGAGGCGCCTCGCCCCCCCCATGTGGAGTGACGTCACCCCCTAACTCTTAATAATGGAGGAGGGGGTGTTCATTTGGAGGACGTCACCTTGTAATGATTATCAATGAGGGGGGGCTGGTCGACGTGGAGTGACGTCCGCGCGCGTTACACACTGACATTCTTGGGTAAATTTAGTAGTACATTTTACCAGGTAAGGCCCACTTGAGCAATTAGTTCTATTTCAGAAGCGACCTGGCTACAAAATGACAGCTCAATAGCGGCACGACCCGCGATCGCGTCCGAATGGGCTCGTTGCCGTTTTAACCGCCTCGCGATGCCTCCTCGCCCCCGCACGCAGGACCATCCTCACGAGCAGCGGCCTCTGCCGCTACCTGCACTCGGCGGTGATCATCAGCGGCACCATGTTGGTGTACGGCGGCAACACGCACAACGACACGTCCGTCAGCACTGGCACCAAGTGCTTCTCCTCCGACTTCATGGCCTACGACATCGGTCGGTGCCTCCCCCCCCCCCCCCGCCTCCACCTACCACCTGCGTGCGCACCTTCCGCAAATTCCGGAGGCGTTGGTGGGGTCCGTGACCGATGTTTGTTATTTATTGTAATAGTAATAGGTTTTTTACCCTTTTATCTGGCACCAAAACTGACACCTTTATACGAGGGATCATGCTTGCAATAACCAACAGCACAAGCAGTCAAAATGCAAACAAAAAGAGACAACTCTGATAATGATATTGTCACTGTCCTTGAATTTGATTGGTCCACACCCGAGACGGCTTTTCTTAGAGCCCAGTCTCCACTGGTGTTGGACCAGATGACACCAAAAGGCGTACAACTCAAAAACAGCGCACTATCAGAGTATTGAGAGCTCGGGGCAAGCATTTACATTATGAGACCTCCTGGCAAAGGAGGTCTCATAATGTAAATGCTTGCCCCGAGCTCTGATAGTGCGCTTACCCCCCCCGAGCTCTGATTGTGCGCTGTTTTTGAGTTGTATGCATTTTGGTGTCATCTGGTCAAACACCAGTGGAGACTAGGTTGTAAGAAAAGCCGTCCTTGAAATTGATTGGACCAATCAATTTCAAGGACAGTGCATATCATTATCAGAGTTGTCTCTTTTTGTTTGCATTTTGACTGCTTGTGTTGCGGTTATTGCAAACATGATTCCTCGTATAAAGGTGTCATCTCATCCGCTACCATCTCATCCGCTACCATCTCATCCGCTACAATCTCATCCGCTACCATCCGCTACCATCTCATCCGCTACCATCTCATCCGCTACCATCCGCTACCATCTCATCCGCTACCATCTCATCCGCTACCATCTCAGCCGCTACCATCTCATCCGCTACCATCCGCTACCATCTCATCCGCTACCATCTCATCCGCTATCATCCGCTACCATCTCAGCCGCTACCATCTCATCCGCTACCATCTCAGCCGCTACCATCTCATCCGCTACCATCCGCTACCATCTCATCCGCTACCATCTCATCCGCTACCATCTGCTACCAACTCATCCGCTACCGTTCCTGCAGCTCTCACTCCACGTGCTCTCTGCTCCAACAACCAAAGAAGGCTTTCTGTCTAAAGCCACGAGGCAGCCTTCACTCATTGGAAGGGTCATTCATTCTCCGGCGCTGTCCCCATGATCCGGAACTTCATTTCCCAGGCTCGTCATGCTACAAACTCCCTGCCCCTTGTTCAAGTCCAGGCTCAAGACATGTTTTTCCCCTCTTCCTATCTCTGACCTGCCTCTTCTGTGTCGAGAGTTTAAGCAAGAAAAAAATCTCAGTGTGCAGAAACTTTGCAAGTTTCAATAGTGTTGCATTTACACGCTATTGTATTTGTTCGAAAGAGCTCCTTAGAGAGCTTAATGGGCCTCTAAATCACCCTGACTGGTTTCTAAAACTTGTGTGATCCTAGGAGAGCTGTCGTGATTGTCCCCGTTTAGCAGATGTGATTATGGTTATCAATAACCATCGTAACATTTCACAAAGACCTATAAGGATACATGCAGAGGAATCCTTACCTCACCATAGATTCCACATAAACCGCACTAGAAAATCAAGTATTCATGAATTATACACTTTTATAAAAAATTAAAGAAGTGAGTATAAAACCGTAATTTCATAGGTTGTTGGAGTTCATCAATGCAGTATAATTTAAATTGGTGTTTAGAGCTTTAAGAAGTAATGAGCTAAGACGTAATTATAAAGTAATTTTAGGCTGTGGCCTTTTAATTGTGTGATCACATTTTAAAAGGCCTTAGTGTCAAGCATGACTTGCTCATTTATTAAGTTTACATGCATTGTGGGCATTTCTAAAGTGTACACTTGCTGGTATCATGACATAATGGTATTTTTAAAGATTGGTTTTGGCATCAGCATTCAGGCGATGCTTCAGGTAGATTTGCATTCACTTCTGAAACTGAGCCGTCCAATCAAAAGCTGTGCATTCTTACGGCTGCAGTGATGTTGAGTGATGGTGACTGGTGTACGGTTAATCATTCATGATGGGTATTTATCGGAGGCACTTGCATTTTTGCGATTGATGGATGGCGAGTGACATTACACATCATAGTCTCCAGTGTAGTAACACAAATGTTTAGCTCTCTTAAACATTTCAAAATCATCCTCATTTTAGCCTTTATATAAAATGTTGGAATAAATAGCCCGGTGCCTGCCTTCTCTAATAACGTTTAAGTTCCTGTGTCCTACCAAAGAAACCCCGCAGTGGCCGCTTTGCTGCACTTTTCAACACGGTGCAGTGTGTGCTGTGCCGCTTCTCCTGATGACTACTGGGCAGTGCTGGACGTGACAATTTAGAGCGCACGAAAGTGTTTATGGCAGTTCATTCGTTAACCAACGATAACGGTAAACGACAAAAAAAAATACCCCGTGACCCGTTTACTTTTTGCCATTCCGTTGCACAATGCGGACGGCGTTTTTGTTTATTCTCTCGACGTGCGCTTGAATGTTGGAAGGGAGCCCTCTCGTGCCAAGCAATTTCATGCAGGGTGACTCCACTTCTCATTTACCAAGAGGTGTCGTCGCATCCTTTTTTTGGAGAGCGCAGGCTCTGCGGCCATAGTGGTCTTGGCAAGGCCGTTCACTTGCGTGCGTTCCACACCTCGGCGATTGGATAAATTGTCACCAATCGGGCTCGTGGTTCGATTCAAGAATCGATTCTTACTTGTCCAAATTTAACCGTCTCGTTTTTATTATTTCCATTTTTTTTATCGCTCAGGTTTGTCTTAGGTTTCGGCGTGAATGCACAGGTGTACAACACAAGCGTACAATTAGCAAAATGCAATTTGGCATGAATTGGAAAATTATCAATTCTCGCACGTAGGATTCTACGCGTGCATCACGAGTGTAAACAATCAATGCGCCATTGTCACGCCAGATTTGCGTCCATCGCATCTTTTTAACTATCTACGAGAGTAATAGTTGTGTGTTGGGTTCCCCCTGCCCCGTCTCCCAATCAGCTTGTGACGAGTGGTCGGTGCTCCCCAAGCCTGACTTGCACACGGATACGGACCGCTTTGGCCACACCGCTGTGGCTCACAACGGGTAAGCCGATAGGATTGCGGCCTTCCAGCCCACCTTGCACACCGATAGCGAAGACGACGCATCGATGTTAACGTGCAGCGGATAACACCGGTTCAGTGCTGCCCCTTGGTCCACAGACGCACGTGAGTATTACTTGTAGATACGCCTTGAAAGCTGTACGGCGTTAAGAGTGGTTGTGAGGGCGTTTTTCGTTTTTTTGCTTTCAGCGTCTCTTCGCTATCGGTACTTGACAGCTTCAATGACCGCCGTCGCTGGCAAATAACGAGAGAGTAGAATAGATTTACGTTGACGTTTTAAAAAAAAATGAAAGCTGCTCTTTGAGCGTTGGATTTCCCTCCAATTTTCTGCCACTTTATTTAGTTACAAAGGCTCTGAACATACCGTAATGGATAGGTGCATGTATATATGGCTGTGGATAAATACTGTATGAGTTTTTGTAATCTGTTTTTATCAAACATCACTGACATAAGATACATTTTTGAATTGTATGTTATAGATAAAGTATCCTGCGTCTTATACCTAAAGTGATACTCATCACCTGTGGTTAACAACGATAGTCTTATCCTTAACCTCCAATCCTCACATTTAAATAACCATTGATTCATTGCGGCATCATTGCCTTTACCTGGCGTTCACCTTTGCCGTGCAGGGTGTTCACAATGCCTTCTTACTCAGCCCCCTTATAAGTAGCACATGATTAAAAATAAATGGTAACAAATGCAACGTGACCGAATATTATTTGTAAGGTTAGCACCTCCGATTAGCATGGTTGGCTACGTACGGTTCGAAAGAAGTTCAACATACGTACGTACAAGGTCAGTTTAACACGTAGGCTTTCGCGACCAATATCATCCATAATACAGGCTTTTTTTGGATTAGAGTGCGTAAATATATAAATGTGGTGTTAAACCCGCCACCACCTGACACAGCCTCTATATAAGGCTGTTGCCTGATGAAGCTAGTTGTAATTACTGGCGAAACGTCGTACTCAGATTGTAAATGTTGTGGCTTGGCTCTCCAACACACTGGTGTGCTGTACTCGTGACGAATTGGCACGTTCTGTTTACGGGACAACCCTTACTAGTTGGCTGTGTCGGGTGGTGGCGGGTTTAACGACCAAGTTATATATTTACGCGATCTAACCCAAAAAAACTATTATGTACATGCAAGGTGTTAACGTGAAAAATGTAATTGTAAATGATTTGGCTACACACATTTCTCACCATCACAATATTCAAAGCAATCCCTCTTAGCCCATGACTTGTCCAGAGGGCCCAGTGTGTCATGTTCTTGAGACGTAAGGACAGTCCTGTGCCACGTATCGTGTGAAGCCCTGACACGCCTCTTGCTATTGCAGCAGGGCTAGTAGGGGTGACGGCTCCTTGCTGTCTCCTGGTACAGCGCCTGTCTCCAAGATGGCAAATGTGCTCACGTGCTTCGCTCATCCAAATTGTGTCGCACTGCATTTAATAAAATCTCTAAATACTTTTACGTTAGGATGGAAAATGGCATCTAGCCCTGTTGTGAACATGGCGAGGCGAAAATCCGTTCATCACACATAACCAACCACCGCACGGTCTACACTTACACAGGAGGTGTGGACACTATGCATCAAATAACGCTCGATGCTGTCGAACCGTTCGCCAAACCTCAACACACTATTGTAGATAGTTTTTCTGATCGGTTGCTTTTCAAAGAAAAAAAGACTCGCGCTTAACCGAGACCCCCGCGTGTCCGTCTCCCCCCTCGGCAGCTCCATGTACATATTCGGCGGCTTCGACAGCCTGCTGCTGCAGGACCTGCTGGTGTACACGCCGCTCAGCTGCGAGGTGTTCTCGGAGCGCGAGCGCTGCGAGGGCGCGCGGCCCGGCCTGCGCTGCGTGTGGAACAGCACGCGCTGCCTGCCTGTAGGCTCCGAGTACGGCATCGGCACCCACAACGTCACCTGTCCCCAGAAACGAGGTGCGCCTTCCCCTCGTCGCTGCGAGCGTGCGAGCGTGCGAGCGTGTGCGTTGAGGGGGGAGCGGTGGCGCGGCAGTTAGCATGCTGCGCTACGAACCCGGCGAGGCCGAGTTCGACCCCCACACGAGGACGAAACCAATGACGATTATCGGAACTGGTTCTGCCCTAGGACGACTCAGCCCCTAATGAGTACCTGGTGCGGTTTGTTAACATCACCACTGGGGAGACAAAGGCGGCCGGGCTTGGTGTTGGCCACCAAACACCTCGTGTGCCGTGCTGGCCTTCATAGGTGCTCGCTAACAGCACTTGCGTCTACAGTCTGTTAAGGCTATTCGGGGGACCTTGTTGGTGGAGCAGGAGTCGGCCTGGCACGAGCGCTGTGGTGACGTCAATGCCACATAGTGGCAAAGTGCGGCTGTTGTTGTTGGTGGCGTGGTGGTGGTGAGGCAGCGAGCGGTGGTGTAGCGGTTGGTTCGCTGCACTACTAACTCGGCAAGCCAAGTTCTATACCCGTCCATGGCTATCACCATTGGCGAATAGATATCTGGGCCAGTCTTGGGCCTCCCCCCTTGTCCACACACACCAGCCAATAGCACGGTCAAATATGGTCAAAGGGGGACCCCCATGACTGATGTGGCTTGGGGGGGGGAGGGGGGGGGACCTTCGTGACGAATGGCCGTGAATTGTCATTAATCTTTACCGTTATAAATTGCATTACGGCATTTACGGGAAGTAATAGGTGCTCGCTGACAGCAATTTTCCTCAGTTTATGTTTGCTACACGAGGGCGCTTTGTCATCGATTTGTTGCTGGAGCAGTGGTGGAGTGGTTAGCACAACGCATGGCCTACGACCTGGGCAACTTGGGCTTGATCTCTCACCGTGCTTTTTAACTGCCAGTGGTTGCAGAATCTGGCCCGGTCCTCCCCTAGGTCAACTCGGCCTAAAATTATTATCCGTGAACATCTGCAATAATTCATGAAAGGCCTCATGGCATTGTGGTTTTGATCTGGCATAATTTAAATTGCTTTTCTGAGCCGAACAAAAATAATTGCTCCGTGTAGGTTTTCTAAAATGTTCCAATCCTCCTTTGTGTCCAAAATATTTTAAGTGAGTGAATGCCATACACTGACTCATCCATTAATTTATCCTCCATTCTGCACAGTTGGCGTGGTCAATTAAATACAATTCTGCTAAACATTAAAATTAAATGCGAAGGCCTCCACTTGTTATGGAGTTTGTTTCAAAGTGCAATGGAAAGGTCTTCTACAAATGACTTCCATTTGAGACCGCCAAATTGTAGGAAATGCTAAAGTACATGCCATGGCAATTTGGCAGTGTTTGTTATATATTGTTATTTATTTTCAAGTGGTAATGAAAATTTAACTTTTGGAATTCATCATCTTTGTTTCCTAATTGAGCCATTAGAAATGTAATAGCCTAAAAATAAAATTTTCCTCATTGTAAATGAGAATTGGATTTTAAAAAGTTGCAAGCACGTATATAAAATCATGATGCCCAATCTCATGCAGTTCGTGGACTCGACAAGGTGACATTGTGAAGGGTGGATTAGCACCACTGAGAGATCTAACGCGCGGCAGTGGTAACCAAAAGAGCACGGGGCACCCATGAGGTGCTATAAAGAGCACACAGAGTGATAAATTTGGGTCACATTTAGACTTACAATTGAATCCTGTTTCTCAAAAATATCTGTTGATAAATTCATCCATTGAAACATTTGTTTCATGCCTCGTGTGCGCGCACCCACTTGTGTGCATTTTGAAATAACGTCTATTTATAAATCGGGATGTATAGCTTATTATTATATGAATCTTGGCGATAAAGGCATTACAAGCAAAGCTTGCCTGCAATAAATGGCCCAAGAACTGTTTGACATTTTGGCTTAGCCAAAACACTGGGTAGTGCACTTGTCATTGCAGTTTAATATCAGTGACCCCGTTCGGAATTGGATAAGCTCCACTGGGCTCTGGCCTATTGCGACACTCAATAACGTCGCTTCGAGGGTCATCTTAAAATGTTAATATTTCAATCACTGCTGACTGCTGCGCTTCGTATTGCAGGCGGCATTACAGAAACCCCCCCCCCCCCCCCCCCCCCACCGCTTACCACCTTCCATCACCCGATATGAGCCTATCACTCAATGACACTTGCGCGTGCTTCTCCAAACAGTGTTGGCGGTCCCTCACCTTGATTTGAACCATTGCAGTGGCAGCGTGCGACTTGGTGTTGCTGTGGTTTCACGCTGAATGGTGGTGCAGCGTGCGCTGTAAATTATGGAATAAACCCTGGCCCCAGGGAGTTGCTGTGCGCTGATGGCCCCACACGGTTCGGTTGGAAAAGCTGGAGGATTTTTCTGCTGGGGGCCACAAACATATCTGGAGAAAATTGGTAGAAATAAATTTGCCATTGTGAGAGTCTGTTTAATTAATGCAAAATAATGTACGAGTAAGCGCCAATCGTTAATTAACAAATGTTAATAATTAAGAGGATTGCTTGTGAATATATTTATGCAACAAAATGTTGCATTTGGAAACCTATTTATTAGCTTATTTATTTACGACCTTTTTATGCATAGATACTGAAGCAACTGAGATTTGTTCATCACCTTGAAAATGTGATTCCTGCACATGTTGCGGTATTTCCCCAACTTGTATGGGTTCTAATTCAAGGTAATGTTTAATTTACTGTGAGAAGCAAATGTATTAACACTGCAAGTAATCCTTGAGTTACAATAAACCACGTCACATTATTTGACGGGGGAACACAGGCGCAACATACCTTTCTCTGCTTTCATCCTGGTGATCTGATTTAGATTTCCGGCCATGGCTAACATCAGTCTGCACTGAGCAGTGTGGTGAAGTATGGTCAGACAACCCACTCCTCACAACCGACACGGGTGTGGAGATGCCTCGATCCAGCAGTGGATTGATAAAGGCCTGTACTTTTAATACCGTCGTTATTGAGGTTAGCCATAGGACTCCTGCTTTGCTCATGTTAGTTTCTCACGGCTGATGTTGCTGACACATTGCTGATACATTGCTGTGCTCCACTGTGGTGTGTGTCCTGTGCAGCCGCCACTGAAAAGGTGTGCAGCATGTTCAAGGATTGCGGAAGCTGCACCTCCAACTTGGCCAGCTGCCAGTGGTGCAGTGGTTCCTGCACGCCCTTAGAGTCCAACTGCACAGTGGAGGTACGATCGCCTGGTCGCGCTTGCCACGCACATGCGCTTGCGTTAATTGTGTCGCCTTGAAACACCCCAAATCGAGCAAGGGTACGTTTGATGTCACAAGCACTAGTGTGCAGATTTGTGTACTCTTATTGTGGATGTGTGTGTCTGTGTGTAAGTACAGAAAACCTTGGATTGCGAGCATAACTCGTTCCGAAAACGTGTTTGTAATCCAAAGCACTCGTATATCAAAGCACTCATATATCATCTTCTTTGGTTCTTTCGGTAAAGTCATGTAGAATGAGAATAAAATAATAAATTGATAAAATAAAATAACACAATAAAATTTATCAATTTATTATTTGATTCTCATTCTACGTGACTTTACCGAAAGAACCAAAGAAGATGAATCATTGCAGTCACGAATGCTTTAAATCACTCATATATCAGTTGTGATCACGTGACGCTCGGCAGATAAAGCGTATACGTACACTACTCGTATTGCAAGACCTCGCTCGTTTATCAAATTAATATTTGTTGAAAATTTTTGCTCGTCTTGCAAAACACTCGCAGACCAAGTTACTCGCAATCCAAGGTTTTCCTGTATATACGTATATTGATCTTCTTTCGCACCATACGTAGCCAACCGTGCTAATCGGAGGTGTGGGGGGAAGGACAACAAACTTAACGCAACAAAGCGGTTCTAAATAAATTCGTTTTCAATTTAGGTTTTAAAAGTGCGTAGCTCCAGTGGCTTCCAGGTAGAAGTCTTAGACCATGAGCAATGAAGTTGTAGGCCGTGTGGGATGAAGTTTCCGTCCATGTGAAATAAAGAAAGTCATGATCTTGTAGTTGTTGGAAGATCGTATTGGGAGCCAGTGGACAGATGGTATTGGCTTTATAGTCTGTAAGTCAGACTGCAGATTGTGCGCACCTATTTTATCACAGGATGTATGTGTGCTTGTATGCTATTTGTTGTGTCCCTTGTGTGTACTTTTATTCCCAACATATGCGTATTGAAGGGCGTACTCATGCTGTAATTATATACCGGCAATATCGCTCTTGGGCTGTCAAGAGTTATGTAATGAGGCGATACAATATCCTGCCAATTCTTGTTCCAGTTGGCAGAGCGTCACGCCGTGGCATGGAATGCCCCTAGTGGTGGCAATGCGTGGCTCTTGCTGAAATCAATTCAATACCCACCATTAGGTGGCACCTGCTCTCTGCAAAGAGCGGTTTCTGTCACGACAGCCATCTGATGTGGTCATTTATATTTCGTCCTGAGGACAGATTAAGTGACAATTAAATAAAAAAAAATAGAACGTATCCCTTGGGCATTCCCGAGTAGCAGCCTTGATTCCAACCCGGGCATTTAGGGTTTCTGGTTAAGTCCTCTTAAAATGTATGAGACAACCCTCAACCACCCAGTTATCCTCAACTTAAAATAAATTATCTTCAGTTGTCACAACTATCATACTTCCCCTGTTATAGTGAGCCAATAATTGCATTGCCACATTTACATGTTGGTAGATCATCAATACATTTTTTTTATTGTTTAATTTAAATAAAGTTGCCTGCTTTTGGTCTCCTACAGACTGAAGATGGAACATGTATTTACTGTTTATTAAATCTCACACCATGAAACCTGAAACGCAATGTATTATTTCAGCTGTTGCTTGATATCTATGCAACTTTTGATATTTTGTCATCACGTTTTAATGGTGACTTTAAAACAATGATGCCGATTGTAATTGAGGCATTTCAATCAGTGGTTCATAAAAGCGTTGCGCTTAGTTTCGTTGTAACATTTCAGACATATAAAACGTGGAACTTTTTGCGATTTTGCTTGGCAGCGCATCTCTCTCTCTCGCTCCGCCTTCCACTGCCGTTGTTGTGCTACGTAGCCTGGCAGCACCACGTTTTCTGGCCCGTTGTATTCATAGACGGTCGATTTTGTTTTAAACCAGAGGCTATACGGTTCCTCCTGAACTTTGACTGGCTTTTGAGGAAAGGGGCCGCGATAATCAAGCGTGCATTGTTACCGTTGTCCTGTGTCCACGGGTGTTCGTAAAAATGTTGGATCTATTAATGCAGCTTCATGTTTGTTTCTGTTGTCCTGTCCATGCGCTGTCACAAAGCCGGTGATCAACTTCAGCCAGTGCCAGGTCCGAGCTGAGGACACCTGTGCCAAACTCCCCAGCTGCCTGGGCTGTGTCAACGACTCCATCTGTCAGTGGGAGAGCAAGAACCAGCATTGCATGGCTGTGCCAGGTATACATAGCTCTCCGCTAGAAATATGTACATGCTTAAGAATGCCGTGACTTATGCAAGCGATCCAGCACTTTGGGCGAGTGAAAAAACAACTCAACGCATCCGTCAATAACACCTATTGCCTGAAAGTCATGTGAAAAAGGTGGCGTTTCAGGCAACGGACCTTCCTCATAGCTCTAAGTGGAGGGGCCGGAGAGATACAGCGGATAATAGGAGTTAGAGACTGCTTTATAGCATGGGGCACGATGAGAATTACATCTTTAAAAAACGTGTTTTCTGATGACCAGTTTTTAAATTGGCTCATGCTGCAGACCACATGTGCGGGGACGGCTGGGACCGCGTGGCTGAGTCCTGCTACAAGATCAACACGAGCGTGGTGAACTATGACAACGCGCGCATGGACTGCATTAGTCACAACGGCATCCCCGCCTCGCTCACCACCGCCAAGGAAGTGGAGCACGTGCTGGCCAAGCTGGCCCTCATGACCAACGAGGTGGGGATGTGCACGCGCGTCTGCGTCTGTCTGTCTGTCTGTGCGTCTTTGTGTTCGTGTGTATGTACAGTGAGGGAAAAAGGTATTTGATCCCCTGCTGATTTTGTACGTTTGCCCACTGACAAAGAAATGATCAGTCTATCATTTTAATGGTAGGTTTATTTGAACAGTAAGAGACAGAATAACAACAAAAACATCCAGAAAAATGCATGTCATAAATGTTATTGATTGATTTGCATTTTAATGAGAAATAAGTATTTGACCCCTCTGCAAAACATGACTTAGTACTTGGTGGCAAAACCCTTGTTGGCAATCACAGAGGTCAGACGTTTCTTGTAGTTGGCCACCAGGTTTGCACACATCTCAGGAGGGATTTTGTCCCACTCCTCTTTGCAGATCTTCTCCAAGTCATTAAGGTTTCAAGGCTGACGTTTGGCAACTCGAACCTTCAGCTCCCGCCACAGATTTTCTATGGGATTAAGGTCTGGAGACTGGCTAGGCCACTCCAGGACCTTAATGTGCTTCTTATTGAGCCACTCCTTTGTTGCCTTGGCCGTGTGTTTTGGGTCATTGTCATGCTGAAATACCCATCCACGACCCATTTTCAATGTCCTGGCTGAGGGAAGGAGGTTCTCACCCAAGATTTGACGGTACATGGGCCCGTCCATCGTCCCTTTGATGCGGTGAAGTTGTCCTGTCCCCTTAGCAGAAAAACACCCACAAAGCATAATGTTTCCACCTCCATATTTGACAGTGGGGATGGTGTTCTTGGGGTCATAGGCAGCATTACTCCTCCTCCAAACACGGCGAGTTGAGTTGATGCCAAAGAGCTCCATTTTGGTCTCATTTGATCACAACACTTTCACCCAGTTGTCCTCTGAACCATTCAGCTGTTCATTGGCAAACTTCAGACAGGCATGTATATGTGCTTTCTTGAGCAGGGGGACCTTGCTGGCGCTGCAAGATTTCAGTCCTTCACGGCGTAGTGTGTTACCAATTGTTTTCTTGGTGACTATGGTCCCAGCTGCCTTGAGATAATTGACAAGATCCTCCCGTGTAGTTCTGGACTGATTCCTCACCGTTCTCATGATCATTGCAACTCCACGAGGTGACATCTTGCATGGAGCCCTAGGCCGAGGGAGATTGACAGTTCTTTTGTGTTTCTTCCATTTGCGAATAATCGCACCAACTGTTGTTACCTTCTCACCAAGCTGCTGGGCAATGGTCTTGTAGCCTATTCCAGCCTTGTGTAGGTCTACAATCTTGTCCCTGACATCTTTGGAGAGCTCTTTGGTCTTGGCCATGGTGGAGAGTTTGGAATCTGATTGATTGATTGCTTCTGTGGACAGGTGTCTTTTATACAGGTAACAAGCTGAGATTAGGAGCACTCCCTTTAAGAGTGTGCTCCTAATCTCAGCTCGTTACCTGTATAAATGACACCTGGGAGCCAGAAATCTTTCTGATTGAGAGGGTGTCAAATACTTATTTCCCTCATTAAAATGCAAATCAATTTATAACATTTTTGACATGCGTTTTTCTGGATTTTTTCGTTGTTATTCTGTCTCTCACTGTTCAAATAAACCTACCATTAAAATTATAGACTGATCATTTCTTTGTCAGTGGGCAAACGTACAAAATCAGCAGGGGATCAAATACTTTTTTCCCTCACTGTATGGAGTGGTAGCGTAGCGGTGAGCGCGCTGCACTACGAACCCGGCGGCCCGAGTTCTATTCCCGCTCACGGCCAACGCTGGTGACTGGGTCTCCCCTAGGTTGACTCAGCCTCAAATGAGTAGCTGGTGTGCTATGTAAACATCGCCACTGGGGAGACAAAGGCGGCCGGGCGTGGTGCTGGCCACCCATACCCTTGTGCGCCGTGCCGGCCTTCATAGGTGCGACTTGCTAATAGCACTTGCCCGAACAATCTATTAAAGGCTATACAGGGGTTAGCGCTCTGCGCTACGAACCCGGCGACCAGTGACGGTTATCTGAATCGGTCTTGGGTCTCCCCTCGTGTGAATTGGCCCTTTGTGTATCAAGAAAAGCCTCACCGAGTAAACCACATTTTTGGGGCTCTGAATTGATATTTTGCCAATTCATACGAGGAAACCAGATTGTTAGCAGAAAACCCATGTTCAAAAGCAAATCATGCATGAGGTTTCATACATTTAAATTATTTGATCTGCTGCCCTCTCCTAGCTCTCTTGTAGTGTGTGCCCTACCACTTGGTATTCCCACACAGTCTCCCATTCAAGTACTAACCCAGCTTCGATTGAAAGGTCACATTCAGGGTGATCATCAGTAATTTACTTGGAAACAGCATTCCGCTTCAGCGGATTGGGTGGACTAACTCGAGTAACTCGCGTCTCCATGTGTGTTCAGCGATGCGCTTGAATCAGTGTGAGCCGCAATATGACTGGATGTGGCGTTCGTGGTATGCCGAGAGGCACGAATGGTGTCAGTGGGGAGGGCAGCGTGGCGATTTCGTCGAGCATTGGAGATATGGGGTTATAAAGAACGGCTTTGGCCTATTTTTACCGACACCAATCAAATCTGAGAGGTCTTTGCTTTCCATTGGACAGTCCCTACATCGGTTACAACCCAGAAGCTACAAGGGCAAGGTGGTGGTCGCCAAGCAGACAATGACGAGTACGCTGCATAGGCTGTAGAACCAACTAAGTAAGAAAAAGGTTGCACATAGAAGAAGAAAACTTGATGATGCATTCAGTGATGAAACTGGCACTATTTGGACACATCTGTAGGATGGACAACAACGGGAAATTAAAAGTGTGTTGTTCGGAAAAATGGAAGAGGAAGACCTACCAGAGAACGGCTTGACGACGACATAAGAGATTGTTGCCGGAAAGAAGCTGCGCTACTTGAACATTGAACACATTGGCACAATAACAGAGGAAAGTGGAGACGAATGACTAAGCTTGCAGTGGACACCTATGGGCTATCTGCCCATGGATTGTAATGATGATGATGATGCAGGCGAGAGGAGTCGGAGGATCGCTTAACTTCACTGACCAGCTTGCCCGCCGCGCTGCATCTTCTCACTTTCCCCCTGTGCCACCACCACCCCCCCCCCCCCCCCGCGCACACAGCTGATGCCATGGGTCGGCTTGCGTGGCCTCAACGTGTCGCACTGGCGCTGGGAGGACGGCGCCGCCTTCACCAACTCCACGCTGGTGTGGGAGGCTAACGAGCCGAGTGGCTCGGGGTTCTGCGCCGTGCTGTCGCCCCCCAGCCAGGCGGGCCGCCTCAAGGCCTACACGTGCACGGAGTTGACCCGCGGCAGCGTTTGCGAGAAGCCCGTCGGTACGCCGCCGCCCCCCCTCCATCCCCCCGCCCCGACCTCCGCACCGCCGCGTACCTGCTGCACACAGAGAACCGCGCCGCCGCCAGCGAGCGTGAGCAGCGGCCGGTCGGAGAGCAGAGACGTGCGCAGGAGGCTCGGCAAGGGGAGGCCGAGGTCGCTGCTGGATGAGCGCCCGCGTGTGTGTGTGTGTGTGTGCGTGTGGTGATGTCGGGGAGCATCGGCCGTTCATCTCTGTGAGTCATCCCTTGGCCCCTGCTGGGTCTGTTCCGTGACCTCCTGCCAGCGGGCGTTCGACACTTCACGTGGCCTTAAAGTGCGCGTAGCCTGGCACAAGCGCCGTGGTGATGTCACCGCCACTTAGTGGCGAATGGCGGCCGCTGTATGTTGTTGTGTAGGGGAGTGGTGGTGTAGCGGTTAGTGCGCTGTGCTACGAACCCGGCGATCCGATTCCCAAGCTCGCTTGGGAACTTTGCCAGGAGGGACCCCTAGGCAGGGGGCTCACTTTGGGGCTCGCCAAGAGGAACCTCTTGGGTTTGTCACCAGATGGCTGGTGCTGGTGCGTCTTGGCATACGCTCCCACGCTTGACTTGAGTTTTTTGTTGTACATGCGTTTGCACGTCTGTCTGTCTGCGTGCGTGCGTGCGTGCGTGTCTACTACGTCTGCGCCGCCACCCGCAGTGAACCCGAACCAGAACGCGCGTCAGTGCCGCATGCCGTGCGCGGCGCGGCGTACCTGCGCCGAGTGCGCCAGCGGCAGCACCGACTGCATGTGGTGCAGCAACGCCAAGCGCTGCGTGGACGCCAACGCCTACGTGCCCTCCTTCCCCTACGGCCAGTGCATGGAGTGGCACACGATGAACGCCTGCCCACGTGAGTGTGACGCGTTCGCCCGCTCGCCAGCGCATGCGGCCACAGAGAAAGGTCCGGCGCAGCACCTCGCCCTGCAGAGCGCCTCTTCTTGGCGGTTTCGAGCACCTGACGTTCACTGTGGCATGGGACAAGTGCGTTTTATCACCGGCACGAGCGGAGGTCTCGCCGTTGATAATTGTATTGCCCACGAGGTTGCCCTTTAGGACAACAACAAAGCCATCCTGGACCCACGACTGTGAATTGGAGTATTCAGATGTGCAAAAATAGTGTACATGATTGAACTTTTTTTCAGTTGGAGGTGTGGGGGTCTGTAATAATATCACCTGTCACTGCTTATAATCGGTGTTGCATGTGGGTACCTAGGGAAGTGATATTGTTAAAACAGTAATGCGGACTATGATATTCTCCATCGTGATCATCGTCAGCCGTAATCAGTCCACTGATGGATGAAGTCCTAACCCAAGGAGCCCACCGCGTCTCACAATCCTGCGATGTAACGATCCACCCGGCACCGGCACACGGGGAGCAGGTTTCATCGCTCCATCTCCTCGGTGGGTCGTCCTCTCTCTGGGCGTATTTACCCTCCTTTGACCGGGCACTTCGTCGTTAGTTTTGAAATTCCGGCTGCCATCCCTTCTCACGGCGTGTCCTGCCCTCGGGTCACCTTTCTTACCAGCCAATATAATGTCTCTCACCTGTTTGTGTTTTCTAATTATCGTTGTCATCATTTGCTCACAGTTTTTATTGATTTTCACGAGTTCAGACGTGTCGTTTGCCACCCCTCTTTGAAATAGATTTGAAAAACACTTGAATTCACAAGTTACTTTATTTGAAACCAGGGCAGCCCTATTTATAAAGTTTCGTTCTATAAATGCTTTGGCAATACACAAAAAACAAGACGAAAATGTTGGCAGCAACATAATGAGCGAGGGCACTTTTAATGAAGTGAAAGAACCAGAGAGTAAGTGAAGAAATACTTAAAATATGTTGACAAATAATTAACAGCTTAATACAAATATCACAATGTGCATTTGGTAATGAATCTGAAACATTGTTTGACATACGTGATGTATGATTTTGTTTTTCAAGAAGATCTGTATAAAATTATTCCACTTATTTTTAGATTCTGTCTGTTTTACGGGTTATAGTTACATATTTTCCTCTAATGGCTACCATTTGTGTAATGCCAATCATAAACCTGCCCTTTCTGCCTTTCTGCTCACATTTTTGCTACCATGTCTTAAAGTACTTTGTGCTATGTTCTCTGATTTATTTTCTCATTATTTTCTGAATAGTTTTACAGATTTAAAGCTTTCGTGGCTGCAGGGATTCATATTCGTGGTTCTTTCGGTAAAGTCACGTAGAAGGGAAACAATGAAATAATAAAAATATAAAACAATACAATTCTCACGACGTTTCGACTGCAACGCAAGCAATCATCATCAGGTGTGAAAACCACACCTGATGATGATGCTTGCCTGTTGGTTGAGACTAACCGTGGAGTGGCAGTCAAAGGCAGCACTCGTGAGGATGCCCAGTGCAGAGACGGAGCAGTCAGATCAGTTTGTGTGCAGGAGCTCGATGGATTGTTGCCTCGCGTGACCTGGGGGGGGGGGTGCTTCACATAGCAGTGGATAGATCATGTCTGATGATGATTATGTCGACGATGATGAAGTAACCAGTAAAAAAATCTCAATGATATCTTCAGTAACTCATTGGCAAATCGTAAATAATACAAAGCAAGTAATGCAGGGGGAAAATTAGCCGAAGCATCTGTACCTTTCAGAAAGTGCAGGTGAATCATTTGAATTGACATACGGTTCTAATATAACAAGTCAGTTTTTCTCTTCTTGTTAATGGTAGGAAGCTCACTCTTGTTAAAAGTAATTTCACGTGCAGTCGGCTCTTTTCAGTGCCGGTTTTAACATGAAGCCAACTTGGCTTCAAAGTCGTTTTTTTCCTCTCCGTCGCACAGCCTCATGCCAAGCTACATTGCCGTGGTTAGCACGCCACATATTTGCAGTCACCTTGTCTCGATGAGAAGGCGTTTTCACCTCCATTTAGAGTAATCTCCCTCGGACCAAATGTTCCACTCCTGTAATAAGTAAATTTGTTTTTGCAAACGTATGTCCTGTCCTCTGTTATTATTTTAATATTTATTTACGGGATGACTTTTGAACGTGCCGTCCCTCAGACAAGTAATGGGCTATGACCTTGTGCTGTCAGTGGAGCCACACACCGTAAATGTGATATTGCATCTCGTTTGTTGATTCTGACAAACTCTTCTTCCTGTCGTACGGCTGCTGATGTGGATGCAGAGCAACAACCACAATTTCACGTTCAGGTGGTCGAGCCAGATAACCGCGTCAGGAGCCAGCGGAGTGTATCGCTGTGATGATGTCTCCTTCGTATCTCTGGATGGGGGGGGGGGCATTGCGTCATTACACGTTGTTGTACTGTCTGTTCTGGATGACCCACAGTCACACACTACTCCTGGAGAGTTTTTAAGTTTCCATTTGCGCGTCGGGTATCCACGTCTACTGCCATGGTTTGTGCAGTGGATGCGGTTTTCGGGTTGACCTCGCTTATTGACCCCAGCGAAGCTGAAAGTTCAAAGCAAAATGCACTGGCATTTCAGAAACGGTTCTTTAATATAGGGGCGCCACAGTGACGAGATGTTGACTACCTCGCCTGGTATACAGGAGGTCATGGGTTTGATCCCAACCCTGACGGCTGGAGTTTGCATGTCTCTCTCCCCCCGTGGTCACGTAATTTTTTTCCGGGTGCTCTGGTTTTTTCCTCCACATCTCGAATCAACGTCACGCATTTAGACGATTCTGCTGCTGTACATTTCCACGTGATAAGCCACACCGTTGAACTATCATTTGTGGCCAGGTCGATTATGGAAAACAGCTACATAGCTCAGTGGGCATTACCTGGTCAAATACACATAGCTTAATCACGAGTCCTGTGTGCTCAGTTGTGTTTGCGGGGATGGCCAGTGCTCTGACTTGTTCGCTATTGAAAGTGGTGCGCCACATGGCTGCATCGTTGCTCCAAACCTGTTTCTTACTCCGGTGGGTTGCATCCTGCAACGTGTGTGGCACATTGTCGCGTCTGCCAAGAGCCATCCTGGGCAACGAAGGCATTCACCAAGCTGGCCTATAAAGAGATTGTTGTCCTGCTGGCCGAGATGCTAGGAGAGTTACTCCTCACGCTGGAGATTGCATGTAACAAAGCCTTCCCATTTGGTGTGGGAATAAATTGGGCAACCACCAAAATCCTGAACAGTGATGAGCAGCCACATGATTTATACTCAGGTTCATGTCGGGGATAACGATGCTGATGCGGTTAAATCTTTCCCCTACCTTGGCTACAACTTCCATCATACCGCAAGTAGTGGGGCTAAAGTTAAAGGACGAATTTCAGTCACACGTGAGTGAGTGAACCTGTTTGACAGAAACGTCTGTCACTCAACTATTACAACAGCAATGGAGGTCCGCTTCTACAAGTGTGTACCGCCTTCCAGTGTCGCTGTATGGGCACAGAGACATGGTCCATGACGGTGTCTTTACATACAAACCCTGTGGATTCATTGTGACGGACGCTTCGCGTTGACTTTCAGGAGCGTATCACAGACGCCGAAGTCCATCTTTGAACGGCACGTCAGCCGGTGTCCGAAACAGAGCCTGGAGGTTTCCCGGCTCTCCAGAAACTTTGGCCGGGTTCATGATGTTAGCAGATCACACCAGAGGATTCCACTGGTGATCATCGACGGGCCTTCCTCGCTGTTGGAGGTGGCTCTAGGGGCATACTGAGGCTGATGTGGACTCGTGCGATTGAGGCCGATCTCAGACATCGTCATCTCAGCGGCCTGCATGCGGTGTCGACGGTCACTGCATGTCAGATGCGTGCTTTTGCGGCCTTCCAGAATGCTCTTCCTTCCGATATTTGGAAGCCACTGGAGCTATGCACTTTTAAATTATATGGATAACATTTTTTTTGTTTATAACTGATTATTGTATTTAGTTTATTTTCTTCTTGGTTCTTTCGGTAAAGTCACGTAGAATGGAAATAAAATAATAAAAATAAAACAATTAAATAAAACTCTCACGACGTTTCGGTCACAACACAAGTAGCCTTCTTCAGGTGAAGGAACTCGTCCGAGTCCATCTATGGACTCGTCCGTCTGAACAAAGCTCGTCGCTTTCCGTGGCGCTATATACTAAATGCCTCTGATATGTAAACTCTGACTTTAACATAGCTACTTCTGTAACCAGTTACATGCTAATCCCTCACACTAACGTTATGCTAATCTCCCAGTTACATGCTAATTTCTGACTTTAACACCCTGCTAATCCAACACATTAACACAGCTACTTCAATGCTAAATTCTTCTGTTGATATGTAAACTCCTTTGTCAAGGTGCTCTGCTCCTCCCACCCAGCTTAAAAGATGCTGCCAAGCTTAGCAGTGTTCATTGAAGCGCTGTCGTCCCATCAGTTCTGTTCCTTCACCTGAAGAAGGCTACTTGTGTTGTGGCCGAAACATCGTGAGAATTTTATTTTGTTTTATTTGTATTATTTTATTTCCATTCTACGTGACTTTACCGAAAGAACCAAGAAGATGAATCCCTGCAGTCATGAAAGCTTTACATCGAAATTTAGTTTATTTTCCTTCCCCCTCCCCACCACCAATTAGCAAGGTTGTCTATGTACGGTGCAAAATAAGTTCTACTTACATACATACGTAGCGTCAAGCACAGGACAGGGTTGCCTGGCGATGTTTTCGTGAGGAGTGCAATGCCCCAGCTGGGGGCCTGCGTCTGATTGATTGACTGAATGTATGCTCATTGCCCATGTTAAACCAGGCACGTGACAGGAGGATGTGCAGTCGCTTTGCAATATATGAGACCCTGTTGCTTGCCGGGTTGTAAATTTTTTAAAATCCTGCTGCGATCCTCCAGTGAATGAAGCCACTCAGATTTGGAACAGGCTCTTTACCAACATGCCTCTGGCATGTAAATAATTGTAGTCTGCATCTTTTACAGCAGACCTTGAAAAAGAAAATGCTCAGGGCATGCTTTTTAAGGCATTTATTCTCTCGGATCTTAAATTTGTAAGTCAAATACATGTAATTATATACATTTATTATTCTGACGCATACCTGATGGTTGACGCTACCACCTGTGCTTCATCCCCATGGCTCCCGTCTCCACCACCTCCTCCTGCACCTCCTCTCCTGCAGCGGAGAACTGCTCCGGCTACCGCACGTGCGCCGGTTGCATGGAGCAGCCAGGCTGCGGCTGGTGCAACGATCCCAGCGACACGGGCAAGGGCCAGTGCATGGAGGGCTCGGCAACGGCACCCGTCACCGTCAACGGCACGCGGGCCACGCTCAACACCAGCATGTGTCGGGAGGACCGTTCATTCACATGGAATTTCATCACCTGCCCAGGTAAATGGCGGCAGTGATCATCACGTAACCATTTGGCTACCGTTGGTATTAGCGCCGTTTTTTTAATATTTATACTTATGCAGGGCAGGGCCATCATGATGCTGCTGTGTTTATTGCCGACATATAGTCTGCTGGTCGGGAGCGATGCTACTCTGAGCAATTCCTATTGAGTACATTTCAGGAAAATTGTGAAAAAAAATAGCTTTATTGCTCATCGGATTCCTCCAGTGTAACTAAATATTCTGATTCTGAGTAGCCAATGCGCGACTGCTTGGCCATGTCACACTGTAGCATTGCATACCGACCGATCGATCAAGAGAACACTCCTGTCCCATCAGCTGTTTGTAGTGCAAACTCATAGTTTTTAATTGCCTATCTTGAATTGTCCACCACAAGAGGCTCATGCGTGAGATTGTTTGGCCGTTACATTTTTAGTGAGCATCTTTGTGCCGTCGGGAAAATCAGTGGCTGGAGAAACGTTGCACGTAAGGGAGGAGATAGTTGAACTCTGCCCTGCACCTATGTATCAATGGAACACCTGCTCCCTGTCGTGCCGTGTTTCCGAGTAATCCACCAAATTTGTTTCCGAAGCAGCTGGACTAAAAGTGAGTGCCCTCACAAAGGTGGGAAAAATAAACTAGTGGCCCACTGTGTTGATTTGGTTTTTCGCGAAAATATATATTTTTTAGAAAAAGGGATCACGATTGCAGAAGTTGCCCAGCAGAGGGCAAGGGGACCATTTGATACTGGGCCTTGGAAAGGTCGGCAGTTATGGGGCATTTGTGCAGTGGGCTGTGAGTCGGCATGCTGCACTATTAGCTCAGTGACACACGTTCAATTCCCGGCCATGGCTAAAAATCAGTGGCGAGTGATATCTGAACAGGTCCTGGGCAGGCCCCTTTCTCTCCCCTTCATCTATCTGCACTCACCTGTGTGAAGTATGGTCAAATAACCCCCATGGCCTACACGGTGTGGTGAAGCCTTCATCCAGCAGTGGATTGACAAAGTGCTGTAATTTAGTGACGCTGTATAAATAAGGAGTTCAGATGATGAGAGGGATGACCGTTTGAGCTGTCGTACGTCTGTTTGGTTAAATGTGCAAGCCTGCTTGCACAGTAGCACTTTGTCATGTGCGGCAATCCATGCAAGCCAACAGTGTCGAAGCCCTCATGGGGATTCCACGCGTTGGTAAGGGCCTGGTGGTGATGTCACACGTTGCTAAATGACGTTTCTTTTGCTCGAAATCACTGGAAATGGGCAGCATTCTCGTGACACAATCAATAACCCGACTTCATGACAGGGTCCGATATAAAACTCCCGTGGGACCAGACTTACATTGGCTTGTTACCAGTGTGGCTTACAGAAAATCTAATGGAAATTCCTCTAGTTTTGCACTCTCGGGGATGTTACCACCATTATACAGTCGTGTCGGTTAAAAACGAGGTGCAAGCCTGATTAGAGAGCACACTTTGTTCCATGCCCTTCGTATTATTCAGTCGAAAGGAACACATGCAGACAAAGCAGCATTCTCTATGGACTGGTTTCTGGATAGCAGGATATATTTTTTTGGTGTATTCTGTGTCCACATTTCTGATTAATTATATCGAATGGATGATTTCATCATTTACTGGTTGCACTGGAAAACCAATAAAATACATTTATAGAAAAACATTTGGAGTACAATTGCCATTCTTCACATGAGCCTTGTTTGTTGGTGATGATTTAAAATTACATTTTGGCTTTGCACTCTTGGCCAGAGATTTTAACGCTATCTCATTAGCTCTTTAAAAATATCACATTAAAACCTGTTTTGTTTTTGTATATCTAGTTATATGTTAAACATATTACGTATATAATCACATTACGTTTTAGAGTATTTGGTTGCTATACATTTCCACATGATAAGCCACTTCGTTGAGCGATCATTTGTGGCCAGGTCGCTTCTGAAAAAGAGCTCAGTGGGCTTTACCCGATGAAATGAAAATAGTTTAGTTGTATAGTTTCATTTTAACAATGCAACGCCCATCAAAGTAATACTGTACGATTATTTCTTGCCAAACCAATTCTTTTGTTAAATAATAGATGTTTTTTTGTGGTCTGAGGCATGTTTGCACAACAAACGTCCGACAGTGTACTCTATCTCCCACTGCCCATGTATCCCGATTATTGTGTTGATTGAAAATTGTACAAAGAAAAAAGAATCTTGCACTTATCTTCACCACAATTCTCATCGGCACGCTTGCACAATGTGCGTCCGATAGACATGAATATTATTTAGAAACCTCAACTCGGAGGCAATTAATAAGTAGGCCACGTGTTCATGTATATAAATTGCCAAGGCAATTGTACAATGTGAAAAATAAATAAAATAATACACTTCATTTAGGTTCTTTTAAATCCATTTGCGGTGCCATTTATAAAATTTTCATAACATATACACTGTGCATAATGAGCCTGTAAGCATTCAACATGTGAGTATGGAAGACACGTGTTTTTCTTCACTGTGTGATGTTTAAAGATTACCATTTCAAATGAAGCCCATTGAATAAATAAAATCACAATTTAGCACAGTGAAATGTAGGGAAAATTTATCGCGTCACGGACTAAGCTCTGTGAATTTCTTTACAGTTCTTCGATATCAAACTCCAACTACTTTGAAACGATTAACGACCACTGTATTGGAGTGTTTGTTAAACAAATGTGCCACATTTAGTACCTTCATGATTATTTATTTTTTTTGGCATGTGGCATTGAAGCGCCTAATTTTTCATGCGAATAGCCCCCCCCCCCCCCCCCCGTGTCTGAAGCTGAAGACTTTGGGTTTGCCCTTGTCCATTCACTCGAATGTATTATAACTTTTAATAACATCCGCACGACCCCTGCGGAGGCCCGTTGGAGGTTTATGCGGTGTAAAAATGAGTAGACATTATTGAGTGGGTGAGTGATGACAGAGTTGGTTTGTACCTAAATTTTGTATTTTATAGAGGAGCGAGATTTTATGGAGCGAAACATTTTTGTGATGGTTTTGAGATTGAATTTCCTTTTCAATTACGCTATTCATGGGTTTTTTTCGCCCCCCCTCCCCCCCCCCTTTTAGTTTGCCCGTCAGCCCTTTCGGTAATCGAACATTGCGTATAAAATCCCCCCCCCCCCCCCCCCCGGGAGGTTACAAGCAAGCGGTGGTTGTGAGCGGAAATTCCCCACGAGAGAGCGTGGGGACCCACGCAGGAGTCTTAGGAGGCCGCTGTGTTTGGCACGTGGGGATACCTATTAACAAAGATATAAAGTGCGTGGTGTATACAAAACCAAATTTGTTTGCTTTCATTTGTTTAGAAATTGGAAATTTCGTGGTCTCTGCGCTCGTTTCATTCACTGGGGGTGGGCTGGGGGGAGCGCAAGGTTACAGTTTGGCAAGCGTCGCGCGATTGTTCGAGGGGGGCGTTTATTGTCCTCAAAGTGCCTCTGCTATTTTTTTGCGTGCAAAATGTTATCACATTGCACGGCTACAAAAATCACTTTTTTTTATGGGATTCGATTTGCAATCTGAGATACCAGGGTCCCAATCCGACGTGCATGCTCTATCCATTGCGTTGAAGTACACCTGTAAAATTGTGAATTGCACAATGTCGGGCAGAAGGGGGGGATAATGTGAAATTGAAAGTGACATCGCAGGTAATGCCCATCTCGGCCTATCTCCAGTATTGATCCCTTTGACATATGTAGCAATTTAACAAAATCACAGATGACCACAAGTTAGCATCTCTGGCCATAAGACATCTTTGGCTATAGCTTCCGTAATTATTTGTGTATGACGCATTCTAATTGTATCATGCGAGACGTGATGTATCTGCTTTTAAAAATACTTTAAATGAAAACAATTCTCCAACAGCAATGCTGTGCAGTGTAATGTAAAGCTTTTTTCGGTTCATAACAAGTCTTTTATTACCACATGAGAATAACGTAAAAAATGCACGTATTTTTAAATGTGTCTAAAGCTGTTGTGCATTCAACACCAATATATGGTGTGTTCCCTTAACTTATGTTGTCACACGGGTGTAGAGCATAATTGCGTAATTGCAAGCCTGGCACACTATAAACTGTTGCCAAAATGTAAGCACGCAGACACGCTTGTCCACTGCAGCATTTACACAAAAAAACAGGATAATGTGCTTTCCCCCATCAATGCGAATTAAACCCTTTGTGTGCCGTGTTGCTCATGCCAAAAGCCACAAAGCATTTCCCCCACATGTAAAGTTAACTATTAAATCTGCCGACATAGCCCCGAAAAAAAACAGGCCTCATCTTTATGCTCTGAATTATGGATTATAAATTACATTACCCTTTTTTGATTAAGTGGTGAAATTGGTATTCCTTTCAGAATAGTGTCTTTTGTCCTGGGCTCGGCGTTTTTTTTTGTGCATGTCATGTGTCTGCAGTGGTCATGAGTTGCGTTTGGCAGCGCACCTTTTCCATTGCAGAATTCACATCAACGTGGACGCTTCTTCTGTGTGCGCTTTGTTACTCAGTGGGGGGGCGGGGGGGTGGGTTGTGCTCCGGGGGGGGGGGGGGAGTGTAAGAATCTTTCCTGCATTGTTTCAACTGCCACGTCTGGAGATGGAATCGAACCGCGCTGAATACTGGATTGCAAGTTGCGTGCCGCGAACCGTTACTCCACCGCGACAGCTCCCTCGACAATTCTTGGGGTTGAAGGATAATTCACGTACAGTATATCTATTTAATATGTACATTATAGTCTTATTGTATCTCCAACATGGGCATAATAGAAGTTGTAATTGAAAAAGTGTCACTGTAGTGGAAGTAATTACCTTTCCATGTAACAATCATTGCTTTCCTCTGAAATTGACCCCAAGTGTGCACCACTAACCGTATCAAAGTTTAATGAAACAAAACGTTAGTTGGGCCGTTTAATAGCCGAGTTAATTTTCAAAGTGTGCACGCGGTGTGTACACATCAAAGTAATCCGCGAATGGCGTTGGCAGAAAATAAGAAGTAAACAACTAATGCATAAACTCAACGGCGTGTGTTTGCAAGTGCTGTGATTTTCATCGATGTGAATGTACACATGGCATGTAAATGTAAGAACGCAAGAGTGCATAGCTTCACCACCATCATGTATTCATGACCATTTGAGAATTTTAATTAAAGCTGCAAAAAACAAGGAGTGTGTTAGAACGTTTACCTATTTACTAATCTTACAAGCAGAACCTGCCCTGGATGATAACACAAGTCACAGTGAGAATGTTTTCACCATGACAAGTGACTAACTCTGAACAAACTGGGGTGACTTGGACTGGAACTCTTATCAAAATATTTTGATGGCCTCTCCCATCTGCCATGTATTGTGGCCAGCGACTTAGCCAAGAGACATTGCAGTGTTTCTCTGAATATTGCTCAACGAAGCTGTGATGTTTAACAGAAAAAAGAATATCACCATTTAAACCTGCAAAGTGATTTTAAATAGTTTTAATATTTCGTGAGTTTTATGCGTGTGGTCCTCGCTACTACCCACAACCGTAACCCCGTGTGACTCTGCACCACTGCTGGGACCACACTTTTAAGAGAGTTGTGCTTCCCGGCAAAGTACGTTTAATAGAAATAAGTAAATACATACGTGGAACGTCGTCGGATGCTCACTATCCGTACAAATTAACCCCTCCATCCAGCGATACGATACATTGTCGTGATTGAGGTTGGCAATTCTATTTAAGAGTCGGTTCTTTATTTGTCTCATTTGTACCGTCTGGATTGTGTCTTTTTGTTCATATTTCATGTGCATGGTTTTGTTTACTGCATTCGTGGAAGGGATCCATGGTCGGTAGTCGAGGGGGGAAGTGGGGCCTGGCCAGGATACGACAGGAGAAGGCATCCATGGTCGGTAATCGAGGACGATGACAGAGCAGTAGCCGAGCACAGGAGGAATGCACCCGGTGTATTTTTTACATCACGGCACCGTGTGAGGTGGCCGGCCGCATTGGGAAGCTGTCATCCAGCCGCATTGGGAAGCCGTCATCCAGCGGTGGATGGATTATGGCTGGTGATGGTCATGACCACGAAAAGGTGTTAGTTATATTAAATGCGCATTGTAAACGTAATCGCTTCTTCTCGTCTGACTGATGCTTATTGAAAAACCGGTGAGGTTTGCTGTGGAAGCTGTGAAATAAATAAATAATTTTGAAGAATAACTGAATTATTGACAAATGGCTGTGCTGTTAATGTATTAGGTTAGGGTTAAGGCATGACATTAGAGGAATGCTGAGTGCTCTATTTGGGCTCTGATGCAGGACAATGATAGGGATCAGCCATTAGCCTTCCATGTGTACCACGGAGAATTATATTTAAATGTCTCTTCAAAACCATTATGTGTGCACGTTTGATAATTCCACTGCAAAGTATTTCATGGCGTCTAAAGTTTTAAACAAAGAGAGAGCGTATGCATTATTAAGCTAGTGCATTAATGTTGAATATATATTTTAAAGGCATTAGTTTCTTGTGTGAAGTATTATAGCATGATTAACAACTGCTCTGGGATGTGTTGTTTGCAGAATGGGTGTGTGCCCTTTCTACTGGACACATTGCAGTTAATTTAAATAATGTCTTAAAAAATACATTCATCATCAAGTACAGACATTTACACACACGAGCAAACCTACGGCGTGTTTAAAATAGGAGATGGAAGAGTACCCCGATCACAATATAAAGTAATACGAGCAGTGAACAAGCGAATGTTACCGTTTGGCAGCCGTATTTTGCATTAACACTCGACACCAGATCTTAATGGATGTACGTTGAACATCTTTCGCAACGTACGTAGCCGAACGCGCTAATCGGAGGTGCGAGATCTCATCGGGAGATAACTGCACGGAACGCCAATCATTGGGGGGATTACTGAATCGATGAGAGCGTCGCAGTGGCGATGTTTACGCGCGGCAATAGGTACTTATTTGAGGCTGAGTCGACCTAGGGAAGGCCAAGGACCGGTTCAGATAATCGTCACTGGCAGGAATCGCAGTGCGCTAACCACTACTCATCCGCTCGTTTAGAAGAACGCATGTGACCACGAACAATGTCCTCCCATGTGTACATATCCTTCTCTCTGCTAATCTTTCTTTAACTCATGCATATTTCCTTTTCTCAACTTAACGCATTGTTGATTTTTTTGGCAACGTTGAAATTGTTCTGTCGTAACAGCCAGAAGTCTTGAACTCTGGCAACAGTGGTTCCGTCCCAACAATGTTCTGCATTCACAGAGAGCGTGAGTGAGGGATGCTGCCACTGCCGCCGCCGCTGCCGCCACTGCTGCTGCTACGACATTACAAAGCGTTCTTTCCTCCTGCCCCCCTTCCCCACAGACTGCCAGTGCAACGGACACAGCACGTGCGTCAACGCGACGGTGTGTGAGCATTGCAGCGACCTCACGATGGGCAAGCACTGTGAGACCTGCTCGCCCGGATACTACGGGGACCCCACCAACGGCGGCTCCTGCCAAGGTAACTGGGCGGCTCCGTTCACGTTGACAGAAAGGGCTTCTACTCCAGAGTCCCTCGAGAGGGCTCCCTCTGGCCTAACTCGTCCATGCTGGCGAGACGTCTCGGGCGAGGTGGGATTATACCCACACTTTACCCCATCACACGTGACCCTGCCAGTCGACTCTGTTGTACCAATTCACACCGCTCTGTGGATAGAGGCGGTGGGAGGGAGGCATTGAAGAAACTTTCCCCATTGTTCCAAATGCCGCGATGGGAGATGGAATCGAACTGGGGCCCCTCTGAATCGGAATTGCAGCGTGTGAACCGTTTTGTTGTCCTCTCTGCACCTCCGATTAGTATGGTTGGCTATGTATGGTGCAAAAGAAGTTCAACATACATAGACAATAAATTACTTTATTTGTCTCTCTATCGCGCTCTCTCTCTCTCTCTGTGGAGTGCTGGCTCAGGCACCGCAGTGGCGAGATGTTTACTCCCTCGCCTGGTGCACAGAAGGTCGTGATTTCGATACCAAGCCTGACGCCTGCATATTTGGAGTTTGCATGTTCTCCCCGTGGTCGCGTGGATTTTTCTCCCAGTCCTCCGGATTTCCTTCCACATTTCGAGCATTTGGCTGGTGCTATAAATTTCCACGTGATAAGCCACTTTGTTGAGACATTATTTGTGGCCAGGTTGCTTCTTAAAAAAGAGCTGTGGAGCTCAGTTGGGCCTTACTTGGTAAAATAAAAAAAATTGTTTAGTTTGGTTTTCCACGGTGCTGCATGATGACTGTCGTGGTGGAGCTGTGTGTGACTCCAGCTAGCAAGAGCTCTCTGGTGTCGTTCCCTTCGTCCCGCTCTCTCTGCGCAGATGCCCTGCTCGTGCTTTGGATCCTCCTCCTGAGATTGTAAATTGTAATGTCGTTGTGCGTTCCACTGGAACACATCAGTGGCACCTTTAGACAACTATATATTCATAAAAATTTACTGAGTGTGCTGATTGTCGGGCATACTTTGACAGCACCCCCCCCACTCAACCATGACGCTATGGCGCACTCGCGAAAGCAGAACGATGTTGAAAACAGAAGCCAACGTTATTCAAGAAGGGCAGATGCTCGTGGACAGAAACACGCAAGGATGGAGCACAGGTCAATGATCTAAGCTGGCAAATCCTTTGAACGAGCTCATGAGCTGCTAGCTTTTGACGTACACGAATACAGCAACCTAAACTTGGTTTTGACACTTTACTTTGATAGCTGTTATATATATTATTGGTTCTTTCGGTAAAGTCACGTAGAAGGGAAACAATAAAATACCGAAAGAACCAATAATATGAATCCCTGCAGTCACGAAAGCTTTAAATCAAAAGCTATTATATAATATACCCGTATATATGATTTAACTTGAATGCAAAATAGAAACTGCTTGGGCATGCGGTGGCTGGGTGTATACAGGCTACATATCCTAGCCAACGCAGCCTTGCTGGCCGGAGGATTTCCCTGATGGGAACGTGTCCAGATCATTAAATGATTTGTGAGCTCCTCACACAATCCAGCCTGGTTAAATTCAGGATGGATCGTAGGTAGGCCAGCCCAAATGTTTCTAACTGGCGCAGATGTTCATTTTGAGGGCTCCACGTCTCGCAAGGATAGAAAAGGGAGGGGGCATAACTGTGGCCGAGAAGACCCACAAAAAGACAAAGGTACGCCTACCAGATTAGATTGCTCTACCATACAGGGGGAATAGTTTTTTTAAATCCTGAAAATACGGCTGTTAAAATTAGTGCATTTCGACTAATGTTTACGTAAGTCTCAGCAGTGAATGCCTTATTGGTTTGCAAATCCTGACTTATTGGCATGATTTCACGTAACAATGTATGCTTTTAATTAATTTTCCATCTATGTGTGTCCTTATATGTGCACAAAAGTTTTCATTGCAAGGTGAAATCTGAAAGAGAAAATTAGATACTATGCTCAAAGTTTTGGCTAAAGAGACCAGTAATGCACAATGTAATGATATTTGTATGCAAAGTAAGTTACTGTTGACAGTGCGACTTTGGGAATATAAAAGCAGGAGCAAATAACATTGCTTAAACATTATGTTTGTACCCAAGCTCTATAATCATATCCAAAGTATAACTCATACAAATATATACCGTTTGTAAACCAGTTTATATATGCACATGAAAGCCTACGTGGTTGAAATGTGTAGGCTATATTTTCAGTAGTACTCAAAATAACCTGAAATCCTCCTTCAGGATTTTATCTTTGTTCAATATATATACGCACACATTGCTTGTTTATATAGAATGCACACACTCCCAAGCAACCTTCTTTTGCAAGATGTAGTCTCCTGGGAAAAAAAGAAAAAAACGAGTTTTGGCGCCTTAAAGTTCAGCGGATGCAGATAATGCTGTAAAGTTAATGATGGGACTTAGTGGTCTCCGGTGTGTGCAGAGGACATTCACGCTGAAAATGTCAATGTATTCGCGGCCTGTTTTGAAAGGCTGCCCTTTCAAAGTTGTAACTTGGTTACTTCGGCCCAGCAGAGTGTAAGTATGAATGCAAAAAAAAACACACTCATCACGTAAAAAAATGTTTTAGTTAAACATTTACTCTAAATAACCCTGTCAAATTTGGTTGTACATTAGATTCCAGTTTCACGGTGCTCTGTGTCCACGCGCCGGTGTGCTGCTTGTGGCACATTATATTATCTCGGTTTATGCCCACAGTGAAGATGCGGACATGGTAATCGCGTGTGGATTTTGCTTAACCAGACATGAATCGTGTTTTGGGTGCTTTGTGGGCTTACATTGCCGAAGTTTCATTACGTGAGTTAAGACACCGGGATCCAACAAGCTCATTTTTTTTTATTAAAGCATGTCTGGTTGGCTAAGCTGTGGAATAGAAAGCCAGACTCAAAATAATAAAATTTCAAGTTAAAATCCTGGTTGCGTGGGTGGGTTCAGCTCATCATTCCACTTAAGTTCTGAAGATGACTACTACTCTGTGGAAAAACAAGATTGGTTGTTCAGCGGAGAGACTGCCGCTGACCCATTTGATTTCAGAACGTCCGCGATAGATTCAGGACTGCCACAAAATATTGCATTTTAGCCACTTTACATTGTTTTTTTTAGTTAAATTGTTTTGGTGTTAGTGCTACTTTCCATTTGAATACCATCTCCAGTAGCAGTCCTGAATGTTCTGCCTAAAAATTAAATCAATGCATAGCTCTCGCTATGACATGTCACTGTTAAACTAAAATACTGTAGAGGGCTTACGTGCACCTAACTTTTTCGTATTACTCTTGCATTGTTTTGACTCGCGTGCGTTATGTTTAAACTGTCAAATGTCTTGTTTATCAGTTTTGGAATGTTGTCTTGGTTTTGTTGTTGTGCTCACACACCACGGATCCTCCTTGTAAAATAGCCAGGAAACCGGCTAAACGGGACCTTCCGTGTAACAAATAAACTCAAACAAACAGAAACTGAACGGAACCTGAAACACTATCCAATTTACCCACAAGACGTAATTAAATAAACACTTATATTAGTAGGACAGAAAGAGGAACACGCAAATCAAAGACAACACATTGATTGTTTAGGAAGGTGGTAAGTGGGTTTGGTTGGGACATATCGCTAGAAAGAATAAATCCGATGGATAAGACTGGTGACAGAATGGCAGCCACAGGAGACAAAGTACCTTGAGAGGGTTTACCAACCACAGAGATGAGATTAGCTCGTCCAAGACGTGAGATGGATTGTCTCACCACAGAACCTTGAGGGATCTCAATATTGCAGGTAGGCCTTTGTCCAGCGGTGAATAGATAGTGGCTGATGATGATGGTGGTCGTGATGGTTAAAGTACTGGGTTATGATCCCCTTCCGTGCTTCCTTTCATTTATCTCGGCCTAAAAATGAAGTGGGCAGGCACGGTGCTGGCGACACCCACCCCGTGCTGTGCTAAATAATACAATTCTCCACAATCGCGAGCATTCTCTCATAAGGTGACATTTTGCATCATTGTGTGACTTATTTATAACGTGCAATGTAGACATCCGAACTTGAAAATGTAATATTCATAGCTCACAGTTTTGTTTCTAGAGCATATCTGACTGACAGTGCAAGGCCTAAGGCATACCATTCTAAGCCAGGTGGTGTTTCAGCATTTTCAAAGCTATTGACTGGCGGGGACTTCATTTTGTAAACAAATAATGTGATTAGCACAGAAGATCAATTAATGCACTGCTCAATGTAATTGGCAAAATTTGTAAGTGCAAAAAATCTTTCCACCAATTTTTTTTCCTCCCAGTTGCTTTGTTAATGTGTTAGATTAAATGAGTCAATATACTGCAGAATATTCAACACCTTCAATCAATAGATTTTCCTTTCTGTTACTTGGCTGAACTGTAGCAAATCAAAAGCTTCTGAACTCACATACGCCCTCCTTATAGTTTGCACAATATTATTTTGAACTACACCGACTCAGCCGTTGGAACTAAAATAATACTCGTGGAGAAAAAAAAACATGCCACGTTGGCACAGTATGTCAAGCTAATGGTCACATGCAATGTTTACAATAAATCGCTGTATCTATCTCTGCGACAACTAGTAAGATTGTGGCGGCTTGCGATCAGAAGGTTGCGAGTTGTATTTTTGATTGGATCGATTCAGCCCATCATCTCTCTGGGGTTGATAAAATTGGCACCACTTTGTGGAGAAGTCAACAATTGTTCTCCTATTGACATACCCCCAGAATAGGAATTAAGGAATTTCTCCCACTGGCTCTTTTAGGGGCTCTAAACAGTAAATGAGTGTCATCCCCGTTGTCAACTGAACGGGGGAAGCCACGTGTGCCCTTCACAAGTCCGTGTGACCAAGGGAACGACCCCAGGACCAGATGGTACGATCCCTGTCAGGGCTGATGTTGGAGGTCACGTGTCTACTGTGCAGCAGCTGGGGGGGGGGGGGGGTTGGCAGAGGGGAGAAAGCATTCGCGAGGTGTGGTGGCACCAGCGGCTTTGACC